ACTCATACACACGTCGACTACGTGTACCCAAGACCCGAATATCGACTGATTTTCCACATTCACATTGTGGGGGATGCAAGCGGGATTGGCTTGCGGGAAATGAATAGGGATCGTGCTAGAAGACTCTAGGCTTTTTTATTTTCTACAGGCATTTTTTTGACTTGTTTTTTGCCCTTCTTTGATGGCTGTCTTGTTTCAACGCTTTGGACATGGGTTCAGACGGACGGGAGGATCGAGGTCGTGGCAGGGCGTGCAGTTTGACTAGTAACAAAAACTCGATGAATATCACCTTATTCGGACTTTGTTTAATTAGGTATGCATCGGCGGGAGAGGGTTCCGAGATGCTGTGTTGTGCGTGCTATGCCGCGCTGTGATGCGATGTGCTGGCTGGCTACAAGTCCTATATGTGACAAATCTAAACATCCATGGATGTGAGTCGAAAGACGACGAGATTGTGGCAAATGTTTGAGAGGGGAACTTTGGTTGTTGCCTATTCTCTTGCATCGGCACTTTGTTACGGCCAATGCAGCAAGGCAAGTGTCACTGCAGGATAATGAGGCTATACCCGACCTCCAAACTCATGATGCTTCTGTACAACATCAAAGGTTCAACACTCAACACTTCACAGCAAAAAAGAGATTCCATCTCAATCCCTGTCTAGCCTCGGAGATTTAACCCAAAAAAAGCACCAATTCCCGTCCTGCCCCAAGTCCCAAGTCCAAGCCTCGTCCGCGGACCCCGCCCCACCCGTAAACCTCCAACCACTCAGAGATCGAGTTTCCCGAAGAGGAAAATCAGATGGGTTGGAAAGGGTTGCTTGAAACGTTGCGACGTGCGGCTGGCGGTCGAATTGGAGACACGAGTCGTCCCCTTTTTCCTACTGGGTTTTGACCGTTCGCGGGAGACTAAGCCAATCAGATACGGCCGATGCGAGCTTGAGCCCGTGGATCCAAAAATAACCAAGCCTTACAAAGCAACATGGCGCGCCAGGGATTGACTGGGGGATCCTCGCCAACATGGTGTCGTTACTGGACTCGCTCGCATTCTGTAACAAGGCTTCGCAACGGCCTTCTAGTGTAGTTTGTTTTGTCACATTTCTTGGGCGCTTGTTTCGTCCCTCCTACCGTTCCCCGAAGCGATCGGTCAAGTTGAAGCTGACAAGGATCTCTTGAGGATTATCTTCATGTTCCATTCTCCGACCTCTCTCACTCTCTGCGGACTTTGGACAAAAGCCGCCCCCTCCTTTCGATTATTTGTCGAAATTTGGAATACGCCAAGGACAAAGCGCTCCTCCTCTCCGCCAGGCGCAGGTGCCACGGGCGCAACCCTCCCCACGGTCCGCAGTTTTTGGACTGTTTGATCATGGTGTTTAGTCCGCCGCCCCAGCATGTTAGCATAGGGCTCAAAATGTCGTTCCGTTATGGCTCATAAACTGCATGTCATTCATCTTAATGAGCATTGAGCAAGTCCTTGCGGAGTTGCCGGGGACGCCACCGTCTTCTTTAGTCTGGGCGGCGGCCGACTCTGGCCTCCTCCGTATCGCGGAGCCGGAATCTCCCAGTCTACGGAGCCGGCTTGACAATGGCTTTTTCCACGGCTTCCATCCGTGTTTCCCTCGACTTACACAGCGACAGAGAAAAAAGAGACTTTAGACTGCTGACCAAGAGCAGCGCGTCAATGCAGCCCTTCCAAGTGTAACCGATACCCCAAAATAAGAAAAATAATCAGCGCTTACTCCCTCTACCGCGCTGCGGCATGTTGGGTTGTTGAGCCACCCGGCTCGCTGGAACTCCGTGGAGCTCCGTTTGAAGGGAAACCGGGTCTCTCGGGCAAGGTCAAGGGAAGGGAAGGGAAGGATTTGGATTTGCAAGGCAATGCCCTCGCAAGATCGACGCTGCCAATGTCACCCGCTCGCTTGGTAGCGGGCGATGAGGAATCCATCACTTCTGGGTTAATTGTCATCAAACACCCCGGGTCGCTCGGCTACCTTTGCGTACTGTAGGCTGCGTGTACCGTACCCCATACCATGTCCCCCTCAACGACACGACGCAACGCAACCTAACCTCAATAGCAGTCCGATTAAGGAAAAACACAGGAGCAAGGGTATTTTCTCCGTCCACGGGTACTGAAGCCGTTGGCCTGTCCTGTGCCCCGTGGGAGCAGGGCCCCTTGGGATATTAGGCGAAGCGCCCAAGCAGAGGAGAGGCCAAGAATGGAGCATGGTCGGTTCGAGGGTTAATTACGCGGTCCACGATTAACGGTGGGATTAATACTACGTAGTTTTTTGGTGCAAGTACAGCACATGGATGGGACAAGCAGGCGAAACGTCAATCCGTCAACCGCCGCAGCAAAGAGACAGCACACATCCATTGTAACTAAACCGTTTGGCCGGCGGGCACCCTTGGCGTGTTCCCCCGTCTCCGGCGGATCGAGTCAAACGGAGCGACGCGTCGCCACTTGAAGGTGTTTGAACGGTCGTCCGTCGTTGAGTGGAGGAGGGGCAGGGGTCGGCCGCCATGGCTAAGCGGCGTCTCGAGTCCAAAGCGTGCTCGCTGTCGTCGCGTTCAACTTCGCGCGGGCGCGCTTGTTAAAAAGCTTGGTGGTGAAAGCGGCCGAAATTCCAGTTCTGGAGTGCAACGCTTCTTCGAAAGAGGCGCTACGCTTGTTGATGACAAGTGACAATTGTCGTTCCAAAGGGTCCCCTACCCTCCCACCCCCTTGAGGGATGAATGCTGCATGTAAGCTGCCACGGGAGAGAGCCAAGACTCGACAGAGATGAGCCACGCGGATGGCACTGGGGCCGGTTGGGTGAATCATGGTCGTGTCCCATGCTGTTGGGTGTGGAGGGTGCCAGACGGAAGGATTTGGGACCAGTTGGATTAGGCGCGACGGCAATGGGGACCTCAGACTGGGGCATCATGGCATGATGGTGATGGGATTGCTGTTGTTCATCCGTCTGGGGGCAGCTAAACCCCAACGGTGCGGATAGTCGCCGATGACTCTCTGTTCGCTATCGCCGTGGCCCAGCAGGGCTCTTGGTCAGGCCTGAAGAGCAGCTAGGGAATGGTGTCGTCACACAGCCCTACGAACAAGACGAGCTACTGATCGGCCCGGCCAAAGGTCCCTTCGGGGTCGAACTCGATATCTAAGCCAAGTCTTTCCTACTGCTCGACCGGGAAGGCGGTCCTAGAGGCCAGATGGAAGCCTGGGATGGAGATGATCTGGTTGGCTGTTACTAATTGCCCGTCACGTCGCAAAATGATGTAGGTGGTGGTGAAGTGATTGAAGCAACCATGGCTTTGAAGGACACAGACGATTCCAAAAAAGGTTTCGCAGAGCATCTCAGTCGGTCGGCGCCGGGGAGGCTCGGGAGTGGAGAGCAACAAGGCGAGGCGATGCTCCCTGCCGCTAGAGACGGACGCGGCAATCGACTCGAGCTTGAGCTATTGTGGGCATGGCATAATTAGCCCGCCTCTGGATTCTGCCTTGGAGCTCCCGTCCAATCACCCCGGAACCTGGCTCGCCGACAGGGCGTGAGTTAGCACGAGTCTAGTAGGTCGCCGTTCAAAGGGTCTTCTGTATGCTGCTGGAGCACAGCACAGCGCACCGCAGCACAGCACACTGCTGTAGGTTTCAACGGCGACATGGCATTGCTGGTGGCTTGAAGGCTTGCCTTGACTTGATGCTTCTATTTTGCTTCCGCCTTTTTCGCTGCTGCCGGCGGCTGCGCCTGGGCGTTCACACTCTCTCCACCGTTGATGTTACGTGACGAACGACTCACGGGAGCGACGGCAAACGGATACGCAATCCATACCTACCAGAGGATAGCAGAGTAGAATGAGAGAGAACGTGATGCCCAAAAGTATACGCAACGGTACGTACTCCTCCAGCCAATGTGCACCACAGTACACCGCAGTGCAGCAACGGATTCCAGCCATGACGGTAGAGGTGGTATGCCCTTCCCATCCCATGGATCCCGAAGTTGCATTTGACTCTCTGCCTCGAGCTTTTGAATCCCGCTCTTTTGTGGACACTCCCCTACCGTAGCACAGATAGAGACAGATCAATTGTTAGTTGAACCGCCTTTTCATGGTGAATCCTTTCGACACAAGCTATATCGTTTTGCGAGATTGATCTTGTTTCTTGGTGGGCAAAACGGACACGGACACGGAGTTGGCGCTGGTACAAGTCCAAGTCCGAGTCTTTTGCACGGGCCGGGAGGGCAAATGAGCGGCAGTTTCATGTGGTATTATAGGGCTCGTAGTAATTGTCAATGCTCTTGGAAAACAGACGGATACGGCAAAATGAAGCTCAATGCCTCTCTTCCCTCAGTCTCTCCAGTACTTGGGAATCCGATGCGAAGGGGCCAATGGGATGCCCAAAGACCCCAAATGCGAGACGAATGCGAAGGATGGAAAAGGCGGAGGTACGTACCCTGTTCAGCATTGGGGCTCAGCCAACCTAGTTGTGATGGGATGGGCAGGGAAGGTGCACTCTGTACTCCACCTGTGTAGCACCTTCGCACCTTCCCAGCAGTAACAGCAGCAGCCCTGTGAGGCCAGAGGGGCAGGCAGCGCCAGGCCCAGGGCCCAGGGCCATTTACCCTGCCAGAGGATCCATGTCTCTCTGCCTTTGCCTCCTCCACCTCCCAAAAGGCGGCCACCACCAAGACAAGACACCACACACACACACTCTCGCACTCGCACACGCCCCCTCCCCTCCAGGACCTTTTTTGGTCTGTGGCCGTGCTGGGGGGTGTGCTTCCAATGGTGAGGGCGTGCACCTCCAGGGATTGCGACCACACGCCTCCTGCTGCAGTGCAGTTGCGTTGCTCTACCCAGGCAGTACACAGGAACATGGGCCATGGAGCGCTACATGTCCCCCTCAATCGTCCACGCCCCAGCAGCTCCTTCGTCACTCTCAGCTTGGCCTTGGATCCTGTATATTTAATCTACAGCCTCTTCCCCTCACCAGTCTACCCATTCTCCATCGATCTCCAAGTTCATCACCAGCTTCAAGGTTGCTTGCTTGCTCTTGCTCTTGCTCACTCAACTCAATCATCACTCATCTCTTATATATACCCATCCCCCTCCCAGCCTTGGTCAATTCGCATACAAGGACGGACAGAAAGGGCAGACAGAGAACCAGGCTTCGGCAGACAGAACAGACAGATCAACTACACAGCTCGTCCCAATTGTGCTTAGGGAACTGTCTAAAGCTTCGTCGTTGAACACAGCGACGACCAACACCTCCACGACGTCTCTCTACTTCAACCCCCAGTCTTCAACTCCAACACACACAATGTCCGTCTTCATGTCACAACCCGCCTACGCCTACGCGGCAGCTCCTCCACCTCCCAGACAGTACTCGGGAACCAGCAGTGCCTTCAGCGCCTCTGCCAACCCCGATGAGGACTGGACCAAGATCTCTGACCTTGCTGAGCGCCGTCGCATTCAGAACCGTATTGCTCAGCGCAACTACCGTAAGTCTCGAGTCTGATGCTCTCACAGCTTCAACTAACACCCCGCAGGCAAGAAGCTCAAGCGCCGTCTCGAAGACCTCGAGCGCCGCGCCGGTTCTTCTGACGATGCCGACTCGGACAAGCAGCCCCAGAAGACGACAAAGTCGAAGCGATCGCCCTCCAAGCCTCAAAAGTCGCAACCCACCCAGGCCAAGCCCGTGGTTGCTCAGGGCCAGTTCACTCCTCCCATGGAGCCAACTGACGATCTCTTCTTCCCCGGCACCTACGACGACCGGGCCCGCTCCAACAGCCCTCCTCAGTTCACATACTCGACCTACCCAGCTCCCGATGAGATCCTCCTCGCTCCCTACGGCTCGGCCCAGTCCTACCCTGCCATGACCACGGCCGACGCCTATCCCAACTACCTGACGGCTTCCACCGTTCCCATGACGCTCCCCTCGATGACGCACTTTAGCGACGCCATCAAGAGGGAGTCGTACTCCAGCGACGACGGCCTCGCGCCTTACATGGCTTACAGCTACATGCCTCCCATGGACTTCAACGCCCCAAGCCCCTACGATCAGTCCAACCCTCATGTGAGTTACGCCAGTCAAATGCCCCGCGGGGCTGCTCGAGATCCACGTTGCTGATGGGGTTCCAGACTCCTCCGCTCTCGCACACGTTCGACCATTCGGCCAACTGTTCAGAGGCCGGCTTCGACTATCCCACCACTCCTCTGTCCATGCCCGGTTCTCCCGGCATGATGCACCCTCAATAAGTGTCAAGACGGAGTCATGGGACTGGCCTGGCGACCCGGATCAACCGGGAGCCAAAAGCGAATGAATTTGCACTTTACTCTGGCGTTGGGATGAGCCTCACAAGGCATTACAGCATGGCGGGTTTTGATATTTTTGGATTCTTTCACTCTCCACACTCTTCTTCTTCTACCCTTGGGTGCCTTGGCTCATGGCCAGTGGCATCATTCAGGCGATTCACATCGTCTGCCCTCGTTTTTACGCACCAACCATCGAAGGGCTCGACTTGGTTGGCTTGTGACGGCTGCAAAGATGGACGAACGTTATTGATTACTTATCTGGGATGGCGATGGAAAAGAAGATACATGCGGCGTTTATGGCAATCAATCAATGTATGAATTGTACATTTGGATTATGAATGGACGCAATGGGTGGGATTAGGCAGGCAGGCAGGCTGGAGATGAGGGATGGAGGCGACGATGGCGGCTGCAGGGTCGGAAGACCCCGGTCCCTTTTTGTTGAGTAGATATCCGCGAGCCATCGAAACAAACAAATTAGATGAAAGGAGAAATGTGCAACAAGGTACGAATCAGAGTCTGGTTTGAGCAATGGTGTCAATGTGACTGTCTGATGGATGGATGGGAAGGATCTAGGACTTGGGACTTGGGCCATGACCATGGGTCTTGGGTCTTGGGTGTCATGGGCCTCGATCCTACCTAGAATGGGAGATTTGATCCTATGAGGCAGACAACCAAGTCCTATGTGTGTGACAGGGACATTCACTCAACCTGGCCTGATCAAAGACACCAATCTCCTTGTCTTGACGGAGCCAAGAAGGCAGCTGAGAGCCTGGAAACAGCTGAAAAGCTCAAAACAGATAGCGCTCTGCAGAGCCGCCCATGGCTTGAGAAAAGGCGGACAGATGAGAGAGGGGGCTTGCAGAAACCAGGCTGAGGCGTATGCGCTATTGTGCAAAATGCACAAGGACTGTCTAGAACACGCCCGCCCCCCTCCTCCTCCTCGGTCTCGGGTCTTCAGCTGAGGAGGAGGGGGATGTGAAAGTCTGTTGGCGTGCCGTATTGCGTGTACAATATCGGTTTGTATCGTTTTTTTGGGCGGTAAATTCTAAAAGTCCGCTTCTTCTTTCCTTGCAGGGGCTTGGCCCACGTGCTGGGGGTTGGGTTCCAGATGTTGGCGTTGGAGGGTGAAAAGCAGGCTACGGCATAAACGGGCGTCTGTTGTTTTTTCTCTAGTGGCGGACGTGGACGTGGACGTGTACTATGGACAGTACCATTTCACAAGCTGCATGGGAGATCGGGCTCGGCAGTTCAGATATCCGAAGGGATTCGGGATAATAGAGATTGCGACTACGTACGTGCAGTGTAGTGTAGTTAGTCCGGCATGCTCGGATGCGGATGCGGACGCGGACGCGGAGGTTGAATTGACGGCCGTCGTCCGTATGAGCAATGAGACAGGGGTCATGAGGAGAAGATCAGGCTGTGAAAGAGACTTGTAAAAGGGGGGGGTACTGGACTCTACTGTAGCAGAGAGGAAACACATGCTGTCCTTGTCCTTGCAGTAGTTAGTTGGTTTAGTCGTGTAAAAGGGGCTTGCCTTTTGTGAGGACGTGTCGATTGGCTTGCCTCGTCCAGGGATCAGGTCTAGAATTGGATGAGTGTGTTTATCATGGATCCATGCTTGCAGTCAAGTGTTGTAGTAGACTGCTTAGGTGTGAACCTTCTTTTTATAGTTGACACTACCCAACAACGCACACACGATGAAATGAAATGAAAATGATTAGAATGCACATTTCTAAACTTGTATATCATGTGTTGATGAGCTTTAGCTAAAGACCGTCAGTGACTGACTATGCATATAGTGGATATTATGCTCAAACCGTGCTTCTTCTCTTTCCCGTCTTGGCATCGGGAGTTGAGAGTCAATTATGTCATTGGGTCTCGGCATCTCATGAAAAACGAATCTAGATCGACAAGGGTTATTAAACAAGTCTGGGGAATTTTAACTTTTTCATCTTTTTCCAACAGCGGGTAAACAAACAAACACAACGCATCAATTGACTCAATTGACGGTAGAAAAAGATGGTGAACCACTTGACATATCTCTTTGGCGGTGACCAGTGAGTGTCTCACTGAATCTATCGTGAAAAGGCACACATACTGATACCCATCTTCAGCCCCTGGTCTCAGGACCTTTGGACTGCTTCTGACGACCGTGTCCGAGGCGGCTCCAGCATCTCCAACCTAACAATCTGCGATTCGCAGGCCATCTTCCATGGGACCCTCGACACCAAGACTCTCGGCGGCGCTGGTTTCGCCTCTCAGCGTACAAAGGGCGACCTATCCCTTGACCTCTCCCAGACGGAGGGTCTGCAGCTGGACCTAGGCGCGGGCAACTCGGAGCAGACTTTTACTCTTACCGTCAAGGATACGATTCCGGAGAGGAGGGAGGATGGACGCGATGAGGCTGGTGTCAGCTGGGAGGTGGACTTTGAACCGCCTTCTGAGGGAGGAATCATTGTCAAGAAGTGGGATGAGTTTAGGGCTACGTATCGAGGAAGGGATCTTGATGATCCGAAGCCTTTGGACTTGGGAGATGTCAAGAGGATTTCGCTCATGATGCGAAGGTGAGTTTTTTCTTCCTCTGGTATTCTGAGCTTCTTGTGTTGATGTGGTATAGTTTCTTTGACCAACAGGATGGTGATTTCAAGCTCGTCGTCAACTCTATCGCAGCTATTAACAAGACCTGCGATGGAGATGAGAGTGATGATGAGGATTTGAGAAAGCCAGCGAAGCGGGATGAGACGGAGGCGCGTCCTTGGTGGAAGATGCTATTCTGCGGGCTGCTGTAACATGTCCCCGAAGAACATGTGTATTTTTAGTGGTCAACTGCTTCAAAGCTACAAAAATTGACAGCCATCCTCAAGTCGTCGACGTTGTGCATTTCTCACTGGGGATTTAGCGTCCCCCGGCCCTTCCGCGCGTCCCGACCCGGAGCTCGTCCGTTCGGCGCGGGGATCGGAGGGGTGGGCCGGCATCGAGCATCCGGTTCGACTCTATTGCGTCACGACTTTTTCAACATGTACTTGTGAGACAAAGAGAAACCCCCAATCCAGAGCTTATATAGGAGACAACATCCAGTATGTCTTGATCGAGCATCTTGTCGTCTAGTTGAGTTCTTTCATCTTGCAACATCGTCAAAATGCCTTCCCTCCTCCGTGCCCTCCTCCCCCCGGTAACCACCGCCCTCGCCCTCCAAGCAGCAGCCGGTCTCCCCTCCATCGCCGCCAAATCCGATCGAATCTACGACCTAAGCGGCTCCCTCACCTTTCTCGCCGTCGGCGCTCTAAGCCTGTACATGCCGCGCCTGGTTGGACCCGTCATCCCCGGCGTCATCTCCATCCTGCGTGGCCAAGGACCAACGGTTCTGAGGCATGCCGATTGGAGACAGTTGGTGCTTACAGGCGCTGTAGCGATTTGGGCCACGCGATGTAAGCTACTTGACACTATGAAAGATTACAGCTGACACGTGGTAGTGGGATCATACCTCTTTGCTCGAGTTCTTCAGAACGGCCACGACTCACGCTTCGATGAAATCAAGACCTCTCCTCCTAAATTCGCCGGCGCCTTCTTCGGCCAGGCTCTTTGGGTCTCACTCTGCCTGTCGCCCGTCATCCTTCTCAACGCCGTCCCCCCAGCTGTTCTATCCGCCGCGGTGCCTAAGCTTCTGCTCACAGACGTCCTCGGGTTGACAATCTGGGCGGGCGGCTTCGCATGCGAGGTTATCGCTGATCGACAAAAGAGCGCCTGGATGAAGGAAAAGAAGGAGAAGCTTCATGATGAGGATTTCATGACGCGAGGGCTGTTCTCTAAAAGGTATGGATGCTGACAGGAGACTTGGAGGAGGTATTGACTAACACGCGCAGCCAATTCCCCAACTACTTTGGTGAAATCGCCCTCTGGACAGGCATCGCCACTGTCGCCGCTGGTATTCTAGCAAGACAGCCTGTTCAATTGGCTCTCGGCCTCTCAGGCAGTGCGGGCAGCATTCTGACTACCACGGCTCTGTCATATGTCAGCCCTGCCTTTGCGGCGCTGCTGTTGACAAAGGTATCCGGCATCCCATTGAGTGAAGAAAAGTACGACAAGCGATATGGCCATCGCAAGGACTATCAGGAATGGAAGAAGAACACACCCAAGCTCATCCCTAGGTTTTGGTAATGCATCATGAGATTCATCATGTATCATGGCACGGCAAGAATGGTGTCATGACTTGGTCATTAAATGCTCATTTCATTCATGATGTTCGCTTTTTGGTATTTTACTGCTTCCATGATCCCCCCAACCAAACAATTTGTTACATAGCATCGCATAGCAAAGAACACCTTACTTGTGGAAAGACTTGACCCGCTCAATCTCGTCGTAGCTACCCATAAAGATACCGGCTCGGTCGTGGATGTGCTCAGGCACCACCTCGAGCATTCGCTTCATGTTGTTGTCGACAGCCTGGCCACCAGCTAAAGCCGAGTTAGCATATAGAATCACACAAGTTCAATTGACACTAACCATTCTCAAACACAAGAGCCATGGGCGCGCACTCGTACAGGATACGGAGCTTGCCCTTGGGGCTCTTCTTGTCGGCGGGGTAAGCAAAGATACCTCCGTAGAGTAGGGTTCGGTAAGCGTCGGCAACCATGGAACCAATGTAACGCGAGCTGTAGGGCTTGCCGTTGTCCTGGGCCAGCTTGAGTGAGTTGAAATAGCTGATCGTCTTGTCCTCCCAGTACAGGGAGTTACCCTCGTTGACCGAGTAGATGGCACGCGACTTGGGCAGGCGCATGTCGGGGTGCGACAGAATGAACTCGCCGATACCGTTGTCAAGAGTGAAACCGTTGACGGTACCGCCACGCATGGTGATGACCAGCTGGGCCGAGGCACCGTACATGGTGAAACCGGCAGCTAGAAGTTCAGTTCCAGGCTTCAGGATATCCTCCTTGACACCCTTGGAACCGGGAGGAAGCTTGTGAATACCAAAGATGGTGCCGACAGAGACACCAGCGTCCAGGTTGGAAGAACCGTCAATGGGGTCGCAGGCGACAGCATAGTGAGCGTCCTTGGCGTCGCGGAAGTAAATGATCTCGTCCTCCTCCTCAGAGACGAGCAGCGAACACTTGCCTGAGGAGCGCATGGCCTCAATGAAGAGGTCATTGGAGATGACGTCGAGCTTCTTCTGGTCGTCGCCGGTAATGTTGGAGGAACCAGCCAGACCGGTCAGGTTGACGAGGGTGGCGCGTCGGATGTAGTAGGCGATGGACTTGAAAGAGAACTGGAGGGCGTGGCAAAGCAGGCTGAAAGGCGGTTGTCAGTTTGTTATCATGAAAGCCGAGGTAAGCAGCATCATACGTAAAGTCACCAGTAGCCTCAGGGTGCTTGGCCTGCTCCTCAGTGAGGAAGCGAGTGAGGGTCACAATGTTTGTGTTGACCTTCTCGGACTCGTGCATCTTGTTACCGTTGGCGGCCATTGTGTCTGATTTTGGGGGTGTAGGATGTGGAATGAAGGAGAGGGGAAGAAGAGAAAGGACAAGAGCTTAAGCCGAACACACAAGGTTTAAGCCGTCAAGTAACAGCAACAGCAGAGACAATGGCTTATGAGGGTCGTCTGAGGGTATCGCGAAGCGGAAAAGGGAGATGAAAGAAGAAGATCAGGAGAAGATGAAGCGGAGGGAGGAGGTAGAAGAAGCAAGTCGGACGAGAGAAGTCCGGAACCGAAGACCGAGCTCTTATGAGCAAGCAACCGCGTCCGTCCGCGACTTCACGACGGGATGACGATGATACGCCGGCCATCGACGGGCGCTCTACCCTGACAACGGCGAGCGGCGACGAGGTCTCGTGGGGAATTGCACCAACCGCAGGGCAGCAAACAGAGCTCTCGCGGCTCCATGGGGGCGTCGTATCGGGTTCACAGCCCTGCGTGACCCGGCAATGTAGTTGCGGGCTACGGCTGCGGGTGGTACGCAGCGAGTTTCAGCGTCCTCAGCGAGGCCTCGGCGAATCTCAGCGCGGTCCCAAGTCCCGAGACGCGGGTCGATTGGGGTACAATTGGGTCATTGCCGGCCGAGGGGAAGCGGCGCAAGAGGATTTCCCGGGGCACTCCAATCTCCAGCCTCCAATGCCCCTCCATCAGAGTATTCAAGACGTAAAGGGACGCTACGGGAGCCGGTTTCTCCCCACATCTTGAGTAATTGGCGTGCCTGCCACCTCTCCGCGTCGGTGGAGAGGAGGGGGCATTCGGCTGCTTGCTCTCCCCAAAGGGATCATGGCATTGAGTCTTGACCAGTGAATGAGGACTTTTGATAAAGTCACCGCCACAGCATCCGGCCAATTCCCGCCATCATGATTTCTGCTCCCCTACCGGTGGGGGTGGCACGTTCAGATTTCGAGATTGAGCGGGGTGAAGATCCCTGTGGCTGCTCCCAAACCTTCCTCGGAAGAGATTGGGCGGGCGGCGGCTGTCAGATGTCGTGAGGTGAGATCCCGAGGTGAAGAAAGCGGGGACCCAAGGTTTGGGGGTTGATGCCTTGCCATTGAGCACTTGCTGCCTGAGGCTTTTAACTCAGCTCCCTATATCACGTGTAACCCCCGCAGTGGCCTTCCCTTCTTCTCCCTTCGCTCCTCATCCCAATTAGGAAACCCTTCACGGGGCACCGGCTCCGGGTTAAAGGTTATCCGGACAGCCGGGGGGTCTTGAGACAACCAGAATGCAAGGAACGGACAGAGTCCGAAGAGCATGAGAAAGGCGCCAAAAGCGCAACGGGCCCCATCCTGTGCTCTCCTCTCACTGGGTTGAAGCCTGCTCTCAAACAGGAACCAGACCGAGCCTCGGGCACTTGCCGTAGCGATCAATCTCTTTTTTTTCCCCAGACCGAAACGACCTTGTTATGGATATTTTTTTTTTTGCGGGGACGGAAAATGGAAACCAAGATGACGATAGGGAGCTTTGTCGTCTGCCCCCTTTTTCTGCTGCCAAAGCTGAACCTGGGCTTAGCTGGATTAAGTACCTATTCTGGCAGCAGAAGCACAGATAGGAGCCGTTGGAGAGAGCCGAGTCAAGCTTGTGCTTTGTGTTGCTGCCCCTCAAGCTTAAAAGCTGCCCTCCCGCTCACGGGGGCGGACCTCGGCATGTGAAGCCCGTTTTCCGGAGCTCGGTCAAGTCTCCGATTTTGCTCCATCTCCACGCCGCGCACGTCTTATTGAATCCATTCCCATTTCCCCAGCTTTTTTTAATAGCATCGACTTGGAACTGTCATCATCATTCTCCATCAGCCAATCCATCTCCATCTCGCCCTGTTTCATCACTAATTGCTGGCTCCTCACTGGTGAAGAGCAAAACCCCGGCCTTGGTCATCGCCGAATATTGATTGCTGCTGCTGTACAACCTCTGAGCTTTCGCATCACCATCAACTCTTGATACGACACGTGCTGTAACTCCCATCGATCTTCTATCACCGCAACCATGGTCGCCGACGCCCTCATCTACCACCCGACGGTCGCGCACTACCTGCGCTACATGGCCACAACCCTCGGTCGCGACAAGCTCATGCGCGTCCTGCAGTACTTTGCCCGCTTCTACGCCTGGTACCTCCTCCGCACCAACGGCACCCCGGACAAGATCGCCCCCTGGAACACCCTCAAGAAGCAGTTCGGCCTCATGCGCAAGGTGTTCCGTGCTGGCAAGTTTGTTGAGCACTTCAAGGCTGCCGCCACCGCAAGCGACGCCAAGTCCATGGACCCCGTCCTGCGCTACACCTCGGTCGGTCGCCAGCTGGGTTATGCCGGTTACCTGACTTGTGATGCCGCTACTATTCCTGACGCTGTCGGCTTCCGCAAGTGGGATCACGCCAAGCGCTTCCAGAAGGAGGCCTACCGATTCTGGGCCATCGGTATCATGTTCAGCATCGTTGGTCAGCTGTATACTCTGCGCCAGCTGAGTGTGCGAGCATCCAAGGTGGATCTGAAGGAGGGCGAGGGTGTTGTCGAGAGCAAGACCATCACCATGTAAGTTGACGTCCACTCCCTTGCGCTCGCCTATCTGATCATGCGCGCTTGTTACCTCATCATCATGATACATTTACTAACACATGCCAGTGAGCGCGCCGCCGCCAAGAAGCAGCTCTTCTGCGACCTTTGCGATATCTGCGTTCCCGTCTCCGGTCTCGGCTGGGTCGGCTTCCTGGACGACGGCATCGTCGGTCTGACCGGTACCCTTAGCAGTCTTATCGGTGTCTACGGCCAGTGGAAGAAGACGGCGGCTTAATTTGCCGTCCATATCCGTCCTTAATCAACCTCCATATTGGAGATCACCATATATACACCCACATACCCGCACCCGCCGTCCTCTTATCAGCCACTATTCGCGAATCACGCCATCGCCATCCTAACATGGGAGTTCAGAGTTTCTTTCTTTAATTGTATACTATGGGAAGGGCACCACGGGAGCAACTGATGGCGCCAAGCTCGAGCATCCTTTCTACTTTGTGCGATAGATCCAGGTCCTTTTTGGAAACATAAAATCAACTTGTTTGGTCTTGTTCATTTACTTTAAGCAGTGGCCGTGGTCTGTTGCTAGTATCTTAGCTCTGGCTACTGTTCCCTGTGACTTGCGATGAGATTGTCCCTTGCCGCCAAATACGGAACAGCATTGCACCTTGAATCCGTGCTATCCATACACGAGGTTGACGCACTCTGTGCTACTTTCTTTCAGACGACTTTCTGGCCGCGCCAGTCGAGGCTCACTGTGTTTGCTCCTCGCGTCCGCCCTCCATCGCATGCCCTATCTAAAGGTTAGTAGCTAAGCCAGGATGAAGAGCCCGAGTTGCTGTATCCGTAATTCATTATCTTGTAGGACAGTAAACAGCGAGCCAAGGCTGTAATAACCCCAACGAGATAGACGAGGTATATAAGGAGCGCTATTCAACCCAGGATAGTATCAGTTTAATTAGCATTGTTATTGCATCCTCCCTCTTCGTTTTAGGCATCAGGCTTTAAACAGGGATAGCAAACCGGTACTCATGAATAGCTTGTATACCAACCTTTACCACCCCAGGATACAGTTGTTTTCCGCTGATGATAGCCAAGTGCAGGTCTCTCTGCCCACATCGGTCACAATATCGAGTCTTCTCATTGCCAAAGAGCCAACAAGCAAGCCGTATGCTCACTCTATGTTTCATCTGTGGGTAACAAATAGTTTGGGGACGGGTATTAATAGTCCCGTCACCCTCTACTTGACCCCCACCAAAATACACCTCTCGCTTGCTATTTCTCGCGGCCATGCACAACAACGCATTCAACGCTCCCAAGACGCCGTTTCAATTTAGACCAAAGCCCCCACGTTGTAAGCACTATATCCCGCCCCTAGAGAAGGTATCCAAATTAAAGACCCCAATCTTCTACGAACGCCGTGGGGGATACTATTCGAAACAATACTACAACGTTGACTCTATCCCACCCAAGCTTAGAAATGCAGTTATCAACATATTCTAGCTTTATAATCACTTCAATGACCAGTCTCCGGCGGGATATGAAATGGCTCAGTTTTGTAATAGTAAAAAAACACTCATGAAAGGATCACTAAACAATGCCGACTGCCTCCTTTCAAAAAGAGTCATGATGGAAGCAGGGGTGGGTGATTTTTATTTTTTCATGTGGAGCATCGGCGGGGCCGCGGGGTACCTTTCATCGGACGGATAGATCCTGCTTTTCTTATCAGCATGCAGCAGCAACTGATTGATATCGGGATGGATCAAAAGAAATTCACAAACAGGAGGCTCTTGCTCCATTCTTTTATGTGATGTGCCATTGCCTTGCCTCTTTGTGAATACTAATTAGGTAAAGACAAGTCAAGGATGTGTCGTGACTGGTTCGAGCGATTTCGGCGCCCTCCCCTCCCCACCAAACTTGGGAAGGCACTAAGTACCGTAAGGTAGTACATTGAAGCCGATGCAGGGGATAAAACCCACCACAAGATGGAGTCACAGCGCGCACTTTCGTCCTCGACATCACCACAACGTCGTCCACAGTAACGTAACCTCTTCGCCACAAAGTCAATTGCGCTGAGAAGCATTCCGAAAATCATGCTCTCTGCCACCTCCGTGGCCATGCGCGCCGGCGCCCGCCGAGTCGTTCGCTCGTCTGCTCCCCTCGTTAACAACGCCGCACGAAACCTCTCGTCCTCGAGGAGCCTGGCGGCTTCGCCCGCTCGTGATCGTGTCACCCGAGGAGTCTTCCAGGCCGTGGCGAGCAAGCAGCTCCGAGGTTACGCCACCACGACGAACCCCAACCCTCCTCTAGGCAAGAAGAATGCCTCCAACGACGTCCCTTCCCGTATCGGTCTTATTGGCGCTCGAGGATACACTGGTCAAGCCCTGATCGATCTGCTCAACAACCATCCTTACATGGATCTTCGACATGTGTCTTCGCGAGAGCTCAATGGCCAGGAACTTCAGGGATATACCAAGCGCAAAATCATCTACGAGAACCTATCGCCCGAGGATGTCGCCCGGTTGGACAAGGACGTCGACTGTTGGATCATGGCTCTTCCCAACTCTGTGTGCAAGCCCTACGTGGAAGCCCTCGGCGATAGCAAGAGCGTCATTGTCGATCTCTCGGCCGACTACCGCTTTGACGATACCTGGGCTTATGGCCAGCCTGAGCTCACAAAGCGGTCCAACATTACCCAATCTACCAGAATCTCAAATCCTGGCTGTTTTGCTACTGGCTCTCAGCTCGCCATTGCCCCTCTGCTCGAGCATATTGAAGGCCAGCCTGTTGTTTTTGGTGTGTCGGGCTACTCTGGCGCAGGAACCAAGCCATCTCCCAAGAACGATGTCAACCTCCTCAAGGACAACCTCATCCCATACAGCCTAACGGGCCATATTCACGAGGGCGAGATCAGCCGCCACCTTGGCACTCCCGTGGCTTTCATCCCCCACGTTGTCTCTTGGTTCCAGGGCATCCACCTCACCGTCAACATCCCCCTCAACAAGACCATGACTTCGCGCGACATCCGACAGCTCTACCAGGACCGCTACGCCGGTGAGAAGCTCATCAAGGTTGTGGGCGAGGCGCCTCTTGTGAAGGATATCTCCAAGAAGCACGGAGTTGAGATTGGGGGCTTCGCCGTTGACAAGACCGGCAAGCGAGTGATTGTGTAAGTCATGGATCATCTGGCTCAAGAGATCAAATCATGCTAACTATACAAAGTTGCGCCACAATAGACAACCTGAACAAGGGAGCCAGCACCCAGTGCTTGCGTAAGTTGCCTTTCTCCTAGTAACGATAATGATTGGGTTACTAACAGGCTTCACCAGAAAACATGAACCTTGCGCTTGGTTACGCCGAGTATGAGGGCATTCCCATCATGTAAAGGCGTCCGTCAATTAGATTAGATGGTTTGTTCTCGACAACGGGGAGTTGGCTCGGTTATTACTTCAAAACACGTTGAATTGGGGTCTACATATGTATAGACGCGCCTTATAGAGGAAAAATTGTTACACAAAACCCTCTCGATACCGATATAGAGGCATACAACAACGTTGAATCAATTCTCGACTTATTAAAGAAACATTGGATACTGGATTGAAATAAAAGGTCCCAACCAAACATAGAAAGATCCCCCCAAAGAGAAACAGCACAAACTGAACCAAACGCACATCCTCAAAGTCCTATAGTAAGCCACCCTGGTGCCTGCCTAGTCATACACTTTGATCCTACCGAGTTAAATCACCAAAAATCTCAAGTCGTGTGCGAGCGATTGCATTGCATTGCAGCATTTTCCCAGTTTTCGTCCACTCTCGTCATGTCCTTCATCAAGCCTGTCCCCCTATCCCCTGCGCCGTCCAGTGTTCGTTCCTCCTCATTCCTTTTTGTTTGGCCGTCATGAAGAGTGACTCGTTGGTTGTCCGTCAATTATCGCTGCGCCTTCCTGCCTATCGCCGGTTGTATCAAACTTGCCCTTCCCTACCTATTCGCAGTCCGGACTGCGTGGCGCAGACTTGGCGCTTTTGGTCAGGGTTGAATCTAGTACCGCCGGTTAAGGACAGTCCCGCCAACGAAGCGGCTCAAGCGGTTGTAGGAGATGGATTTACCAGTAGCGTCCACCACGTTCGTAATCACGCGGATATCCCTCCCTGGGGTATCCACCCTCTCGTGGAGGGAAGTCTCGAGGAGGCCGGTCGTACGGCGGCCGACCATTGGCATAAGGGTCGGGGGGGGGAGGGTAGTCGCGTCGGTACGGGTCATCGTAGCGACCGCGAGGAGGGGGAGGAGGATAGTCCTCCATTGGTCGGCGGGGTGGTGATCGATAGCGAGCTCGGTCATCATAGTAGTCTCGTCGTGGGCTTCGGTCACGGTAGCCGTATCCGTCGCGGCGAGGACTATAGCCGCGAGGAGGACCACGGCGTTCGTAGTCATCCACGGGAGGTGGGTACGGTCGTCGTCCCGGAGAGCGGGATCGACCACGATCGCGTGCGGGAACGTCAGGCTGAGTCTAGACCGAGTCAGCATATTCTTCAGCAGGCGAGCGGGGGATACTCTACGTCAGCAACACATTGGACGCGCTGTCCCTTGAATTCGCGACCGTCGAGTTTCTCTACAGCAGTCCTCAGGTCCGCAGCAGTCTCGAATTCGACGAATCTACCTCGTGTCAGCTAAAGTCACGAAACAAAAGCCCAATCAACTCACCCTCGGCCGTTCGAGTCGCGTCCAGTCTCAGAATAGACCACGTCCAAGCTGGACTGACGCGCAAAGTCTTTGAGATCCTATTTCCAGAATCCACGTAAGTCGTTGTCCAGGAGCAGGAAAAACGCCGGAAGTCCATGTAATCCACAAAACGCGAATGCAGTCCGTCAAGTCAAGGTCAAGTACCAGGAAGCAGAACGGGCGGAGGGGGTCCGTGGTTGTCGTCCCCTAAACCTAGTCCCGGCGCAGTCCCGATGGGTCGAAGCCAGAAAAGCCAGAGCTCCGCGCAAGGCACAAGGGGAAGAAGGTCCATGGAATCCAGCAGCGACAAGGAACGGGGAGTGTGAACAGACCTGCCAACTGGTATCGTTCGGGAGTCCCGTGATTTGCATTCGATGAGGGGTACGGCGAGGCCGCGGAGCGGCGCGCTCGTGGTTGCCAAAGCCACCCTCTCGGTGCCTGGGGCCATGAGCAAACTGGACAGTGAGTCGTTCTCCCATAAAGTTCGATCCGTCTTGGAGGGTGGTGTGTTAGCCAGAGGTCGCAGATGGAGACGAGGGCTGGAGTGGTGACGTACGAAAGGCTACAGAGTCATGGTCAGCAGTCAGCGCAGAGACGGAAGAGGGGTCGACTAACCCGGGACAACATCTTGAGCGTCCATGGGATCCTTGTACTCGATGAAACCGAAGCCGTTCATCAGCTTGACCTCGGTGATTTCTCCGGTTCCATGAGTCGCAAAGTGAGCCTCAACATCGGACTTGGTAGCTGTTCGGCAGCGTGTCAGTGGCATGGCTAGGAGCGTCAGGGCGATGAGTCTGGACCATTTCGAGGGAGGTTTCCCAAGTAAAGCCGGGTGGAGGACACCTCCGTCGTCATGTTGCCGGTGGGAGGAGGGTCGGGTCGAGACAAGGGCAAGCAATCAATCCAGGAAGAGCAAACTGTTTGTTATTTGAGCCAAATGCGGGGTTTCCAGATATCCGGGGCCAGTCGCGCGATGGACCAAGAAAGGGCTGGAGAGGGATCTCTACCAGCAATGATGGCGATGGGATGGCGACGCTGATGGCGATGATGAGATTGGATGGTGGAGGGAGAGGAGAAGAGGGCAGCGCGGGCGCGTGCTATCTCTTGCGACTGAAAGGCTGGTGACCGGGCGGGGAACAGCGGCAAAAAGCCAGATCGGGAAATAGCCCCGGTAACCAACATCTCGGGCTCCAGCGTCGAGGCGCCCTGATTGTTAGTGGACAGCCCAGCTAAGCTACAGTACAGCTACTGTAGGCTAGACTAGCGTCACATGTGCGAACACCCTCGCTTGCATTCATCATACCGACAGGGCAGGACGGGAGAAACCCCACAAACCTCCAGGGCTATCATCGACCTGGCCCTGGGTAACATCAAATCGTCCGAGTATCGCGAGAATCGTGTCATTAATATTATTTCAGGCCATCTGTCAATGGATCAGACCTGATAAACAGAGCTCTACCTCCCTTCGTAGGCAGCCATCCAGGGCCTCGGAGTCGTATTTTGAACCGCCAAATCATGTCGTCAATCACCACAGCCTGGTCCAGCCCAACTCAATCCCCTGTCAATGACGCCCAACGCCTTCGCCGTGTGTCTCGTGTCATGCCCGTCCATGGATGCCTTAGGTGAGAGGCCCTTGCCTTGTTATGCTTCAGAGCTCTTCAAAGAGGACTGAAACAATTTCATCAATCATTGTAAATACCAGGTGTGCGCTGTGTCCGTTAGCTAGCCCCTAAACAGAAGTGATGTGCAAACCTACTTTAACCTCGAGTTGTTCAATGTCGCAAAGATGCGCCGACTTGCCGCCTGCGCGTTGACTCTTCCTACAACGCTTCCGGCAAGATCTGGTACCAGCGTGGCCAGCATGAGGCTCGCTTCCGTGCGTGTCTTTTTCTTCTCAATCGCCGTGCGCGGCTTGCGGTCTCGCTGTAGCTGACCCCCAGGCCAGAGACTGTCTTGGACCAGGCCAATGTAGCGCAGCATAGAGTCTTCTTGTACAAGCATCTTGACATTGTCTCGCACCTTTCTCTCAATCGTGCCACCCAGGAGTTGTTGAAGAACGACTACTACAGCTCTACCGCGGAGCCAATTGTTCCCCTTGTTGAGCTCAAAGACTTCGAGGAAAATGTCGCAGATTGGTTTAATGAACGGCTCGAGCTCTTTATTCTCAAAGGCGTTCAGCTCGGCCTCGGCCTCGGCAGCCGGGAATGTGTCTTCGTTGACGTTGAGAGGCACAGTATTGAGCTGGTTCGTAGCTGCAGCGATCAGATTCTGGCCAGCAACCGAGATCTGATCCAGGACAGGAATGTTTCCTAGAATGTCGTCCATCCCGTCTGCCACTGAGTCGTATAGACGCGTCATCATATCCTTCTTATCCTCACGGTCCAGAATGTCCTGGCCTTGCGCAATTACACTCTGCGAGAGGAAGGCTCTGAGATCTCGACTCCGGCAGACCTCGGGCAGGAGAAGCAGCTCTCGCATGTACTTCTCCAAAGCAGCCCGCCGTTTTCGTAGGAACTCGCTCTGAAACTTCATCACCATGCGCCGCCGCGGAAAGTCGAGATCTCGCACCGACGGATATCGGGACCGTAGCTTTTGGTGAAGTTCGTGGAACTCGCTGTATCGCCGCGAAATCACCCATGATGCTGCGGGCATCTGCTCTCCGGCATTTCTCTGGACCTCAATGACGTACAGAGCAAATTCTCTGCCGTCCTCCTCCTTACCCACTTGGATGGACTTGATCTTGATAGTTGAGCGGCCGTAAAGACTGTTGTCGCTCTCCTGAACCACGTATTGCTGCCGCTGAAGCTCTTTTCGTCGAATCTCCCTCTGGAGACTAGCCTTGGACTTTCTCAGAATGCGCAGCTCAGCAGTGTTGTTGGTCAACTCTGCTTTTCGCGTCAGCGATTCCACAACCGCCTCCTGAGCCACCAAACGATCAATGTCGTTGGAAAGTGCCGTGATGGCTTCTGCCAATCCAAGATCTCCCGGTGCTGCTTCATGGACTTCATCCTCATCATCAGCCTGCGGGCCATCATCAGCATCCCCGTCGTCAGGAACCTTGTCTTCATCTCCAAATAGGTCATCGTCCACAAAAACGCCAATTCTTGAAGCAGCACTAACAAGACCAAGAGATGATAGACTTGGCTTGTCACCCTCCTTGTTCGAGACAGTGGGTTTAACCCCAATATCCATAGAGCCACGGTGGGAGTCGTTATCATTTCCCGAGAAAAGGCTCGAGGCATTGTCATCAATACTGCCTCCGAGAGCACTTCCACCACCGCCAAAAAGAGACGCACGGAGGTCCTCGGCAGTCTGAGGCCGGTTATCTTCCATGATATTGGTGAGAGCCTGCTCCACGGCCTGGACAACCTGCGTGTCTGGTAATTGTTGACTGTTCGTGTCCTGGTCCAGGCTTTGCACAGAATCCACCAATCCATCGTTTTCAATGTCATCGTCGTCAAATAAGGGGTTTGTAGAACCCTCATCAAGAGAGCGTCTAGCTTTCGTCAGAGAATCTGACCCATTGCCGTTAGTGGTCAGCGCTCTCAGGTCTGATGTAGAGCCTGCACGCTTTCCTGAACTGGATAGCGGGGGAGCGAGGCGTGAAACTGGCCTCGGCTTGGCTGGTAAGGTCTTGCTGGATCGAGTGTTCGTAGATGGCTGAGGGTCTGGCTGATAGACCGGTCGAACTGAGTTGGCACTGGCTGCTTCTTGGGCTGCAATACATTTGTAGAATAGGTCGGATTTCTTGAAGCTCTGAAAGAACCGTGACTGCATCTCTTCGAGGACAGCACTCTGTGCCCTTAGAATGGCCCGTCGGGCTTTGTAATATTGAGCCGGTGTGGCTGACTTCCCTGCTTTGATAAACTCTCTCACCTCCTTTTTCGAAGAATCCGGAACCTTCAACTCAGCCTTTGATAGATATGCTTGTTCGATCTGCTGGAGATCTTGACGGTCCGAGTCTGTCCACATGGGCAGTGTTGATGGTAACTGCTCGTCGTCTTGGCCATCCTCCTCCAGAGGGTTCCTGAAGCCATCCACCACAAGCCAGAATTGCACTAGAGGCATGAAATGCTGGCGGTCTATATATTCCATGAAGTAGGAAAGCCCTGCAGAATCTCGCAAGAGCTCAACCAGGGATGCGTTTTCCAATCTTGAATGTGAAGAAGTAGTTGGTACTGGTGTAGGCGCAGGGGCATGACGGTCTCCGCCAGCTGCTAGATGGTTGACTCTCTGGTCAAGAAGACGCTTCCCCATCTCCAATCGTCGAAGGTAAACCGGGTCTTGATTTTCCTCTCGGGAATCCCGCTTGAGCTGGCTGGCGACTTCGCTGCGGAAACGACGGGCATCTGACAGGTTATTGACCTTGCGGATGGCGCGAATGAACTTTTCGAACTTGCGCTCACTGTCTCCCGGAGCGACTCGAGGCATAGAAGCTAGCTTGCTTGACTTTGGTGTAGGGGAGGCGTGCTGGTCTAGAGCTGCTCGAAGCTTGCGCACCGTCGATCTATCCTGAAGCATTGAACGACCAAGGTTCTCCATAAGTTGGTTCCAGGTGTCTGGTTCGGACAGCAGTTGGACAACTGGGAATAGGACAGCACAGCTGACAATCTCGCGGATAATTATAGAAACGGCTCGACTGGACAGCATGGTCTCGGGGAGGATCTGAGGCACAAGCTTTGAGACGAGGGTCCGAAGGTAGTCCTGCTGGACCATCTTGGTGTCGGGGAACGACAACGAAGCAGCGGGGTGTAAGCGGCCATCTCGGAATTTGGACGCAATAGCCAAGTCGAGTTCTTCGGATTCGGTAACAGATCGGTTGAGCTTCTTCCCACGCACTGATTTCTCCGCCTCGTAAAAGTCTCGAAAGTGGGCGGTGAGGATGGGGACGAGGCGGCTGGTGACGATCTCGGCCAGGTCCTTGTCACGAAGGGAATCGCATAGACTCAGCAGCGCCTGGCGTATAGCTTTGTCGACTTGGTTCGAAAAGGTAGGATTGCGGCTAATGTTGGAATACCAGCTGCTCACAAAGTCGCGGCCTATCATGCCAAGTAGGACATCGACAGCTTCGGAGACGCGGGGTGACTCGGGAGCTATGGGGGTCGGGGTATATGATTGTCGCTGGCGCAGCGCCTGCACCTCGGATCGCCATGCTTTGGGTCCCAGAAAGGCGGCGGCGTGAGGTCGTGAAATGCGGTCGCTGGGTCGTCTCGAGACGAGGACAAGAGCAGCCAAGAGGACGACGAGGGTGACGAAGGAGCCAGCTACAAAGGCTTGGCCCGCCCAGCGGAGGACGGGGAGCCAGCTCGCGACGAGGCCCCAGGCTATGAAGGCTGCGAGTCCTGCGAGGGCAGCATCTCTGCGCTTGAGGGCCATCGCCAGGATGTTGACCTCAAACAAGACATTCTTGTCTGAAGATGGAGTGTCGTCGTGGCTCCAACTGGGCGGGTGGTGCCATCAGCCGGTTAGGTTCCATTATCGATTACGGTGGATGCTGTAATTTGATGCATCCACCCCTGTCGGTACGCCTGCGGGACATGGAAACCCATGACAGAGCACAGAAGCCACTTCAACTGCAGGAACGGAACCATGTTAAATGAAACTGCTCGACGGCATGATGCATTAACTTAGGGGAACCTCATTTTATGAGGAATAGCCTAAGTAGTTGTAGCTCCTTGTATCCTGACTCAAGAAGCTCTCCCAGCAGGACAGCCGAGAGAAGTACATGGCCGAACCCCCACGTTGCACCTTAATATGACACTTAACGTTATTAGATTCTCAAAGCGATCCATGAGCTGCAATAGGGTATAATTCTAGGTCGTTGAATGATTCTCCTGGGTGTTAATGCTCAATCACTTTGTCCCGAGAAAGTATTCATTGCCGCCTCTAGTTCTACCTCTAGAGTTGGTATCCAATACCCGTGGCTCACATTTAGTACTACAAGCCAATGGCATTCATCACAAAGTCCGTACAACAACGCATGGTTGCACTTATATGAGTTTCATGAAATTCATCTTCAGTTTTACAACTTGACTCCTAACTACCACGGAGGATCCTCAAGTCTCCGGAACAGTGCCACAAATTTTTGACCCTTATTCCTAGCCACTTTCTTGCCCTCCTCCGTCTCAGTCAACATGACCTGCACACACTCATCCGCCTCCTCTTCCTCCTTCGGGATCCTCTCGAAAGCAGGATGAGCATCGAGGTGCTGGACCATCCACATATGCAAGTCTTCGACGTCTGTAATGGTGTACACGATACCTCCAGGTCGGAGAGCATAAGCGTACTCTGAGTTGAGTGTTGTCGACACAATTCTCGCCTTGTGTTTTCTGGCCTTGAAGTGAGGATCGGGGAAGCAGATGAAGATTTTGGACAATTGGCTCTTCTTGAAGAAATTTGGAAGAAACTTCATCGTGTTCGCCCTGATACAGCCCACGTTTTGATACATGTTGTCCGAGTTTTGTGACCGCAGTGCCTTTATCCGCTCTTGGACATACTCTGCAACCTGTGTACGGATCTCAAGGCCTAGATTTGTCAGTGTAAGTTCATCGAGAATACTTTTCTCACTCACCAAGAACCAGTGTGTCTGGCAACTTTGGTGCCAAAGCAACCAAAAGACCACCAAATCCACAGCCAATGTCGACAATCTCCACGTCTTTGCGGAGAGGACGAGGCTTAGTGGCATCTTCCAGAGCCTCCTCTTGAACATAATGCGGAAAATACACCGACCAATCCATGTCATCTGGGGATGTAGGGCTATTCACATGTCAGAACAATTCGCTTAACATCCATGAGATCAAGTACATACTACTCTAGCATGTGGTCGGAGAAGGGATTCGCATGCGCCCGCTGGCGGTAAAACTTTTTGCGCGGCAACTGAGTGACCCCATCTTTGGTTCTTGCTGCGCGACTCAGCTCGCGGCCTTTTTGTTTATTTGGAAGTTCTGTCGTCATGTTTTGGTTGTGATGTTGATATTTGATACCCTGCAATCTAAAGATAAATTCAGAGCAGATCCAAATGTGAGGGCTGCTTGGCGGGCTGCTAATTCGGGAAGGCGGTGAGGCAGAATCTGCCCACCTCACATGCGAATTAATTGGAGGGAGGTGTACCCTGTCAGCTGGAGATGAGCTGCGGCCTCCTCTGGGTGGCCTCGGAACCCATGATTCTACCACCTACAACCACATCACCCCCTTCATAGTCATGAGCTTTTTTTCTTCCAAGCTGTTTGTGCCGTATACTACAATGTCTGAGTCTTCTCCTGACGCGCCATGGAATCTTTTCGGTTCTCTACTGACTGAGTACTCCTTGGTTGTCCACTGGATCTCCCTTGCCTGTGTAAGTGCAGCTAGCTCGGCCCATCCCCCTTGATGGGAGACTGACGCGCGGATAGTTCGGGGTTGGTTTGGTCTTGTTCGTTCCGATTGTTCTCCTCATCATTTTCGACCTCGTCGTTTGGGCATGGAGAACTGCCAGTAACAGCTCCCCCGCTTCACCTCGCGATTCAAAACCCACCGCTGTCGCTTCGAATACAAATACTACGGCAATAGTGACAGGTATAGACAAGGCGACACTACGCTGCTAGTCACGGACCCTCGATCGATCAGAATACGATAATAAACTTATATTCTTGGGCACGCTTTTATTTTGCTAGCACTTTCGATTTTAAGCAATCTGCGACAGAACCTTGATCAGGTCGGCAGTCACACCCATGGCAGTCACAGCACCACCGGCACCGGCACCCTGGACGATCAGAGGGTTGCTTCCATACCTCTCAGTGTAGAAGCTGATGATGTTGTCGCTGCCCTTGAGAGCGGCAATGGGGTGAGAGCGGTCAAACTGCTCGAGACCAACCTTGACCTGCTGAGAAGCAGTGTCGATGCTTCCAACGAATCGGACAACCTTGCCGGCCTTCTCGGCAGCCGCCTTGGTCTCCTCCATCTGCTGGTCAAAGGCAGGGAGCTTCTCGAGGAACTCGTCACCGCTGGTGCAGGACTCGAGCTCCTTGGGGATGAGGCTCTGCACGGGGAAGGAGGTGGGGGACTCGACAGGGAGACCAGCCAGGCGGGCCAGGATAGTCAGCTTGCGAGCAACGTCGAGGCCGTTGAGATCGTCTCGGGGGTCAGGCTCAGTGTAGCCCAGAGACTTGGCGTTCTTAACCTCGTCCGACCACTTGCCGCCCTGGCCCTCGGTGGGAGCAAAGGAGTTGAAGAGGAAAGACATGGTGCCGCTGAAGACGCCCTCAATCTTGGTGACCTTGTCGCCAGTCTCAACGAGATCCTTCAGGGTGGAAATGACGGGAAGGCCAGCGCCAACGGATGACTCATGGTAGACACGAGCTCCAGAAGCCTCGGCGGCAGAGAAGATGTCCTGCCACAGCTTATAGGAGCCAGAGAAAGCCTTCTTGTTGGGGGTTACGATGCTAATGCCTTGGCTCAGGGCGAGGGGGTACAGCTCGGCAACGTCTTGGGAGCTGGTGTTGTCGACGAGAACGGTCTTAGCGGGGGCCTTGGAAAGGTACTCGACGACCTGGGGAAGAGCGAGGGGGGCCTTGGAGGAGGCTCCGAGGGTATCGACGACATTGTCGAGGTTAATGGCAGAGTAGTCGTCGTTGTAGATGGCCTTGCGGCTCGTGGCAATGTAGGCGAGACTCAGCTTCGGGGAAGGTCTCCGAGCAGCGAGGGTCTGGAGCTGGTCAATGAAGACCTTGCCGACACCACCGGCGCCTATTTTTGTTTAGCTTTAATAGTTGTACATATATAGAAAGATTGAATTACCAATGATGGCAATGTAAACTTGCTTGGGGGCGGCCATGATTGTTACTGCGCTTTAACTGTCGAGAAGCTTGTGAAGAACAAACTCGGGGTCCGATGGCGGGGCATCAGGAAAGCCATTTGAGCACGACAGACCAACCCCGCGGTGGGTTACCCTACGCGACCGGAGGATGGACGACCAATTGGGCAAGCAATAGAGCTTGTCCACCACGTGCGACGACATGCAACATTGGAAATGAATGAGATAAATCGAAGTATTAGTGTTTTAATAGAGTTGACAGAGTTGAAAAATTGGGGTCTTTGGGGTTTTCTATGCCGAGCTGGTGTTGCCGTTTGTACTCTGATTGCCTCAGGCTGAGCTCTCTCCGTAGCAATTCCATGACATAAACTTCACTTTATCACGATCGACTCGCAAACTACAGCACATAAGGACCATTCGCAAATCTACCGTTACCCAGCACGCATCATGCCGCAAGACCCAAATCTATATGGCCAAAGGGCGCCCAAGAAGCAGAAGCGAGATGCGACGTTGTCCAGTTCACTTGATTTCACGGCTCAACTGACATCGTTGATGTCAAACGCGTCAGGCTCAACATCGTCAGGCCGATCACGCCCCTCCAAGGAACGCAAAGACGACATATTCAAGGGCAGCAAACCAAAACGGAGTAAGGAGTTAGATGGGTCAAAGAAGTTACAGCTGAAAGAGGTGACAGGGACCGAGGAGGAGACGAAGGAGTTGGCGAGGGCCAGGCGAAGGATGGAGGAAAAGGCACGACTCTACGCAGCCATGAAGCGTGGCGATTACGTCCCCAAGGAAAACGAGGCTGCTCCACTGGTGGACTTTGATCGAAAATGGGCCGAGGGAGAGGAAGAACGAAAGGAGGATTACGCAACAAGCAGCGACGACGATGCTGACGACAGCGGCGAGATGGTCGAGTATGAGGATGAATTTGGTCGCGTGCGACAAGTCACCAAGGCAGAAAGGGACAGGTTGGAGCGAAGAGCACGACGAGGTTTACTGGGAGCTGAAGAGCTAGAGCGCATGTCGGCACGTCCTAGCGCACCAACCAACCTCATCTTCGGCGATGCAGTACAGTCGATGGCTTTCAACCCAGAAGATCCAGAGAAGATGGAAGAGCTGGCGCGGAAGAGGGACCGCAGCGCAACACCACCACCGGACCAGCACTACGACGCCGACTGGGAGGTTCGGACAAAGGGCACGGGCTTCTACAAGTTCAGCAAGGACGAGGAGACACGGACGGCTGAGATGGAGGGGCTCGCGGAAGAGCGGCGCAAGACGGAGGACCAACGCCGGACCCGCGAGGATCAGAAAGAGGCCAGGAGAAGGGAGATTGAGAAGCGCAGGGAGGACATGGCAGCGCGGAGAGCCAAGAAGCAGGCTGATTCGTTCTTGGACAAGCTGGGAGCATGAGAAGCAGAATTCCGTCCGACGGAATAAAAGATGTCCTGTTGGAAGTTGGCGTTTGGTTAGACGAAGCGATAACCCAGTTTGGCGGCTCCGAGGCTCCGAGCCAGCGAAGCTCCATCTGGCTGCGTATTCGCGCATACGAATTAACGCGAGGCGGAAGTGCCTGTACAAAGACAGGATGTACCATGAAGATAATCTGTACACATTCGACTGCGTTGCAACAACGGCAAGCTCGGCCTGCTGCATTCCAAGTCCCTAGCCGCGAGAGTCTCTTTTCCGGCAACCAGCGGGACGTTATCGCAATCCACACCATCTTTCTTTTGGCTCTGGGGAACCGTCTCAGTTAGTGCGAGGTAGCTGCTCCATCACGACTCGTTCCGGAGTGGCTCGGAAAACTGTGCTGATAGACCTTTTTTGCTTTTATCTCGACAGGCATTCAAGAGAATTATGAAGCCATAAACTCGGTAAATTCAGCCAGAAAAGGCATTAACTGCGAAAAGACCGATACCGCGCTCATGGCCCATGTACGGAATATTCGTTGGGAGTTTTGTTCCAGGCTGCCTCCCTGCGAGATGCAAGGCTTGTCGGCCGCTCTTGTGGTGGCTTACATGGGAAGGGGGAGCGTTTTCCAGGCACAGTGCGGCAGAGTCGAAAAATAATGAGATTTTCGACCTGTCTACTGTGGACATTTAGGAATCGCAGACACTCGAGAAAAAGCCTCCACCGTATTGACCGATCGCTACCGGGGGGTTGGATGGACGGGCCGGAGGCAGACTGCCAGGCAGACCGATGTCCCAAAAGAGGCACTCCTTTGGTGGGAGGAGGATTCGCGTCTCCTTCATCAACGTCCTCGTCAGCCGCAGCAATCCGGGAAATGAGACTGGCTACTGGCTATCGACGATGGGATGGGAGTCCGAGGGCAATTGGTAAGCACAGCATTGGCTCGTCTGGTCTTAAACGGTGATCCCCAATCAGGACGAAAGACTGGGGGAAGATAGTTTCGGCCAATTGGCGCTCAGGGCGCAGGGTCTGTCCGAGTTGCTTACGGCCCTCACCTGCGCTCGCTAACCCTTTTACAGGCGAAGCAGCAGCATCAAGCAGGGCGCTGTTCTTGACAGCCTCGAAAAAAAGCCCACACGCAGGAGGGCGCGCCTGTGCGTCGTGTTGTCGTGTGTGCGCCCTTCGAACCACAGGTTGGCTCTGGAGTGTTTTGCCGGTGGAGGCTTTGCTTGTCCTGTTGGGGGGCCGTCTCAGGGCTTGGTTGCACCGGCGAGACCGGCCAGTCCTCTTTTGGCTAAGCCCCCAAAAAGTGTGAGTCATTGCCCGGCCCCATGTCTCTCCGAAAAGGCGCTCTCCGCGACGGTACCTGGGCGGCGAATCCTCGGCTGGAGGAAACGCACTCTATTTGCCTGTGTCCGGTCCAGGCCCGTTCCTGTGTTGCAAGTACCCTCTCTGGCGGCGCACAATTCCTTCCCTCGCTTTGCGTTGCTGCCTGAGAAATACAAATTCTCCCCGTTTTCCAGTCCCAAACTTTTTCCTCTCTTTTCCTCTTCTCTCCACCCCCAAAATTTCTACACACACATATTCAAGTTCAATTCAGCGCCTCCGGCAGCCGTCAAGATGTTCTAAACAACCCCTTCCCCCCAGTGTCCCCAGTCCAACCGTCAAGATTCCGTCCCCGGACTTAAACGCATCCATCCCCACTCAACCACCCCGTTCAGCTCACCTTTTGGTCGACCTGAACTTCAGCACCGCTTTGAATAGCATCAGCTCAAGTCCTCTCAACACCGCCAACATTTCAGGCCAAGACTTTCTAGTCTCAACCACGGATTCCCAGTCATCATGGCTTCCCTCCACGCAACCCAGCCTGCCGGCACTATCCGCGCACCAGTTCCAGAGTCCCGAAACACAGCATCAGGATTTTGTCTTGTTCGATCAGCCCCCTAATCGGCCAACTACATCGCTGTCAAACCAGCGTCGTCACTCGTCTTATCTGCACAAACGTCGTCAACAGCCCGCTTCCCCCGCTGTCCAGAATCAACGAGTAGCCCAATTGCTCAAGGCTATCGGTAACACCTCGTCTCCTGTCAACCGCCCCGCGAATCAGTTTTACGCTTCTTCGGCCCCTTCGTCGTCCACCACCTTGCTACAGCAGAACACATCTGCCAGGCCTCCTGTTCCTCTTTTTTCCCAGAGTACCGGAAGTATCCAACAAACCGCCAAGATGATGAACGCCGCAGGTTTGTCTCCCACATGTTCATCTGATTGCTCTAGCTCACCATGTTTAGACGTCGAACTCGAAGAGTTCACTGCCTTTGAGGGCGGGGCCAACACGGCCTTCTCCTCGCCTGCCGTCCCTAGCGTCTTTGACCTGGGTGGCAGTGCAACCAGCTCCATCTCCAACCTGGCGACTGTGTCGCCCCACGATCTGCTCTTCCAGGAGCCATTCATGTCCGCACCTAACTCGTCGGCTCTCACGGCGCTGACTTCGCCGTCCATCCACAACGAGTCTCCTGACTTTGACGGATATGATGTGTCTCCCAACTTTGGCAATGCCGACTTTGACACCTCTGGTGATCCCTGGTACCCTCTGTTCCCTCAAGATGTGTCTGCTCTTGAGAAGGCCAGTGTGGAAAACTCACCAGCGACCAAGTCGGATGATCTGGAGTCGGTTGGTCGTTCCTCGTCTTCCGACCGCCGGAAGTCGGGTACTTCTCCCTCGACTCGCCACTCCTCGGTGGCGGGAGTGAACGCTCGCAAGCGTGACAAGCCTCTCCCTCCCATTGTTGTGGATGATCCCAACGATACTGTTGCCATGAAGCGTGCTCGCAACACCCTGGCGGCGCGAAAGTCTCGTGAGCGCAAGGCTCAGCGACTGGAAGATCTTGAGGCCAAGATTGCGAGGCTGGAAGCGGAGCGTGACCACTGGAAGTCGCTCGCGCTTGCGTCTGGTGCGCAATAGTTGAAAAGTGGAATTTCTCTCCTTTGCCAATGATACTGGGACCGTCGTTTTGCTATGTTTTAATGGGTACTATTATTCGGTTCACATCCCAGTTTCAATCAGTTTTTATTCTAGTTCGATCAATACCAAGTTCTGAAAATGCTTGACTCCCAAATTTAGTGACATTCGTGATATCTGAGTGAGAATGGTGTGATGTTGGGAGTAAGATCGAATATCAGAGCGTTGGGGGGCTTGGCGTCGGCGGTCGTAAGTTGAGTTACGGCCGACTGCGGCGTCGGCCTTAACCAATTAAACGCTACTGCCGTACCCAGACGAATCTGTTCAAGGCTGTTTGATAGAGCCCGTTAATTGGACGTTTACTTGCACTAAGCTGACGGTTTACCCTTGTCAGATGCTTAATCGCCGCAAGGTTCTCGTAGGGAAGAGACTTTGATACTTGACCAAACTGGGCAAGCTAGGCGAGTTGAAGTCTCTGAGCGATGGCATTGGCTCATGCCGTCATTTCAAGTTGTAGATCCCCACATGTTGGCTAGTTTTCAATCAAGGCATTCGTGATCCATGTGGACCGCCTCAATGTGTTCGAGGACAATCCTGGTCTGTGCCGTGTAGGGCTGGTCCTTGAAGATATGCACGTTTCATCATGATGCTTTGGAGATATGCAGAAGGGATGGGCTGTGCTGGTGTCTGGTGTCATTGGTGGCACAGCCCATGCGGTCATCTTTTCAGCTTGATCCATGGCCAAGAAGGGATCGACAACTTGTTACGGAGTACGACGTTGTTGTCTCTCTGGTTGGATCAACGTCACTTTCTCTTTGCATGTGCTTTCGGGGTTTTGTTCTAAACTTATTCTCTTCCCAGCCCTATGGGAGTTCGGGACTGTTGGATGACGAGAGATTTCGCGGACACTGTGATCGACATATATCCCTGACCCTCCGCGGAAGCTTAAAAAGATAACTCTGTCTCCTGTGTTTCTGTCGTTTTCTGTATCTACACATTGGTCCTCGCAATGGCGAAAGAGTTGCGAAAGGCAGAGTCTCCCATCTCTGGAGACGTAGAGTTCAGAGAGGTTAGTGTCTCATGCCAATTATCTCGTCAATCTCTAACAATTGTAGACTCGCGAGGGCTTACTGCCTGGCTCTCACACGTCAAGTGATGTTGAGGATGTGTTTGAGAGGGACCTCAACGTCACTGAGGATGACCTCCTCGAAGCCAGAGAGGTCGCGGCCACATTATCTCTCCAAGATGTCCGCAAAGTGAGACCATCTCATTCTATTTTGGTCGGTCAATTGTACTCACAAATCAGATGATGAATCAAGTTTACAAAATCTACGGCCGAGATCCAAACTTTCCCTTGGCCGTCATTGAAAAGATTGAAGCCTTCATAAGCACGTTGACCCCCCTCATTCATAAACCTATACTCATACCGAGCAGGCAACGAAGACATCTTCACCAACCCAGCCAACCACCAAAAAACAATCCAAGAAATAAAAATCCAAGCATCCCTCATAACAAACAACTCGCCCTACTCCGAAGTCCGCGCCGTAGTCGACAACCGCGACGACCCATCAATGCCATGCTCCACCATCAGGGCCTGGTTCATGGGCCTCATCTTCTCAGCCGCCATCGCCTTTGTGAATGGCTTCTTTGAGATGCGTCAGCCGCCTATTGGTGTTTCTGCCATGGTACCGCAGCTGCTTGCTTACCCGTTTGGAAAGTTTCTGGAAAAGACGTTGCCTGATGTTGGCTTTACTGTCTTTGGTGTAAGGCATAGTCTTAATCCTGGGCCTTTTAATAGAAAGGAGCATATGCTGATAACCATCATGGCGAGTATTTCTGTTGGGGCGCCATATACGAATTATATCGCCTGGATACAGTATCTTCCTTTCTTCTTCAACCAGCCCTGGGCCAACAGCATTGGATATCAGATCCTCCTTGGTTTGTCTGCCAACTTTATCGGTTATGGTCTCGCCGGCCTCTGCAGACGCTTCCTGGTCTATCCATCATACTGTGTATGGCCATCAAGTCTCGCCATCGTCGCCTTGAACACTGCCTTCCACGGCGAGACCAACGCCCCCGTTCTAGGACCTTTCAATCGCATTTGGCACATGTCTCGCCTCAAGTTCTTCAGCATCGCCTCCGCCGCCATGTTTTGCTACTTCTGGCTTCCCAACTACCTCTTTGCTGGTTTGACTTGGTTCAGCTGGATGACGTGGATTGCCCCCAACAACCGCGACCTGGCCATCATCACGGGAGGATACACAGGACTCGGGTTGAATCCATTCTCGACGTTGGACTGGAACGTGGCTACTACCATGGTCAACCCCCTCGTTATTCCCATCCACACAACCATGAACGTCCTTGCTGGAGCCTTGTTGAGCTTCTGCGTTCTCGTCGGTATCTACTATGGGAATGCCTACTCCATGGCCTATCTCCCCGTCAACTCGAACCGCGTGTTCGACCACTTTGGCGGGCTGTACAATGTGTCGTTCATCCTTGACCACCGTGGACTATTCGACGCCGAAAAGTACGAGGCATACTCTCCCGCTTTTCTCTCTGCCGGCAACTACATCATGTACCTGTTCTTTTTTGCAGTTTACTCAGCCGCCATCACATACGGTGTTCTATATCATCATCGACATATTGCCATGGGCTTCCGAGACCTGATCAATAGTTTTCGTCCGTCCAAGAAGCAGGAAGTTGAGTCTGAGCAGGTGCTCGACGTGCATAACCGCCTCATGAAGTCTTACCCCGAGGTGCCAGAGTGGTGGTTCATGATATGCCTCGCTTTCGCTTTCATCGTCGGCATAGTCGCCATCACTCAGTGGCCTACTCATACCTCACCAGCTGTGGTACCCTTCGGCGTTATTCTTACTCTCATATTTATCGTGCCTATTGGCATCATCAGTGCCACAACCGGCATCGAGGTGCCCCTGAATGTTCTATCCGAGTTCCTCGGTGGCTCCTTTGTCGAAGGAAATGCCCTCTCGCTGAGTCTCTTCAAGGCATTTGGCTACACCACCTGCACTCACGCAATTCACTTTAGCGTCGACATGAAATTGGCTCACTACCTCAAACTCCCGCCACGGTTCACGTTTTGGGCGCAGATGGTCCCGACTCTTGTCTCGACCTTTGTATATGTCGGTATTCTTCAGTATCAGATGCACCTGGAGAACATTTGCACGCCGAATGCGCCGTACCGCTTTACTTGCCCTAGTCTCAACAGCTTCTTCACGAGTGCCGTTCTCTGGGGAACCATTGGACCTAGAAAGTTGTTTGGGCCTGGAGGACAGTACGTCGAGACTCTGGTTGGCTTCCCAGTTGGTGTGCTCGTGGTGGTGATTTTCTGGTGGCTTGGAAAGAAGTATCCCAAGAACAGGATCATCCGGAGCACGCACCCAGTCGTTCTTCTCAAGGGCGGACATGTCTGGGCGCCGTATAACATTGGCTACCTCTTGCCCGCTGTGCCTATCGCCTGGTTCTCCTGGATGTACATCAAGAAGCGATATCTCGGTCTTTGGGCCAAGGTATGTATTTTTTGGTCTTGGTCACATTGTCAAGCTAACTCCGGTAGTACAACTACATCCTGGCAGCCGCATTTTCTGTTGGAATTGCCCTCTCGGCCCTCATCACCTTCTTTGCTCTTCAGTATAACGGCATCAAGCTTGACTGGTGGGGGAATAGGGTCCCATTCCAGGGCTGTGATGGCACCAGTTCGTGTGTGCTAAAGTCGCTGTTACCGGGGGAGTATTTTGGTCCTCGAATTGGAGACTTCCATTGATGATCTAGACATGTATATATACAAGTGATGGAGCGGAGTTTTCACGAGAGAGCCATCTATCGCGAGCTTTGAATCGTAAAATCAGGCTTGATGTTCGTGACTATGTAATAGTAATGCTAAAGGGCTGGAACCCAAACTATCGAAAGATCGAAGGAATGATGTAACTAAGGAAACGTTGTTCGTCGTTGTCAAAACGAATATAATAATTCAAGTGGTATAAGTCTAAACGCCATGCCCAACCCCTACAATAAATCAACTCAAACACTCCCCTTTAGTACTCGCACTCATTTCCATGCGGATTGACACAATCCGGGTTGAAGCACTTGAGATCATACCACAACCAAGACGTCTCATCGTTATCCGCCCTACCCTGAGGAGCATCTAGCAACTCACAGAATGGGTCGTAGATATTATCGTCCGAGTATCCGAACACGACCGCCTTGCAGCCTTCTGTTTCAGCGCAGCTCTGGCCGCAGGTCTCGACGCTGTCGCTGTCTCCGTAGCCGAGAACCTTGGCCTTCTTTCCGTTACGGTGACCTTCATGACCACAGTCGGCTCCCTTGGGTGGGTTGTCGTAGAGGGTGTAACGGTAGCAGGAGGGTGAGGTGGTGGCAGCTTCAGAAGTAGTGGAGGTGCTGGTGCTTGTGGAGGAAGTGGTACTTGTAAAAGAGGTCAAGGTTGAGGATTCGGCAGTGGAAGTTGAAGTGAATGTGCTGGTGGTTGAGGGCTGGGATGTTGTGCTGGAAACCTCCTTGGTAGATGTGGTGGCCTCGGTTGAAGTGGCTGATGCCTCTCCGCTCGTCGTAGAACTGGCCCCTATTGTAGAGGTCTCCCCTGTGCTGGTCGAGGTACCAGTGCCACTAGTTGAGATTGAGGTACCCGTACTTGACGTCTCACCCGTGGTAGTAGAAATCTCTGTCGTTGAACCCTCGGCGGTAGTGCTAGTAGTGTGCTCAGCGGTGAAAGTTGTCTCAGTAGTAGAGTGAGTTTCGGAGGTGGCACTCGGAGATTCGGTGGTTCCAGTAGTTGCAGTAGTTGCAGTAGCTGTTGTGGTCTCCTTGGTGGTCTCGCTTGAAACTGAGGTTTCCGTGGCGGCTGTAGATGAGGTTGTTTCACTCGTGCCGCTCGACAACTCCGTTGTCTCAGACTTTGTGGCAGTACTCGAGGTCTCACTAGTGGTGCCCGTCGTAGTAGCAGTGGTGGTTTCAGCCGTGAAGCTCGACTCAGTTGTCTTGGACGATGTGGTATCAATAGCTGTAGTCGAAGTATCCTCAGGGGTAGAGTAAGTGATTGTGTCAATGGTTGAATCTGATGTTTCCGTGTTGGAAGATGTATTTTCAGTAGTGAGCGCTGAAGTCTCAGTAGTATCTGAGTTTGTGGTCTGAGTGACTGAAGTAGATGTACCCTCAGTTGTCTCGGAAGTGGCAGTAGAGGTAGTGATTGAAGCCTCACTGGTGGAAGTTGGAGCTTCAGTCTTGGAAGTGATGGTCTTCATGGTAGTGGGCTGTGTAGCCTCGGAGGTATAAGTGAAAGAAGAAGAAAGGGTAGATCCAGTTCTGGCTGAGGTCTCTTGGGAAGTAACAGTTGAGCTCTGCTCATTGCTGGTTGAAGCCATAGACTTGGACGTTGCAGTGGTGTCTGAAGCCACAATAGAGGATGAATCTTTTGAAGAATGAGAAGAAGTGGTTGATCCGGAAGGGATCGTATAAGTTGGTGCAATGTAAGTCGGCACACTGTAAGTTGGAACATAAGTTGGTGATCTGGGACGACAAGGTCCTCCACTAACACCAGAGACTGCAGCAGCAGCGAGAAGAAGAAGGAATGACATGTTCCAGGCCATTTTGAATAAATGAATGTGAACCTGCACAGAAGAAGGAATGAAGGTAAAGATGCAGTTGAATCAATTGACACACTCTCTGTCTACTCTCTATTGTACTTATAACCATCACTTCAAGCTCTTTTACAAACACCTTCTAGAACAAGAAATCCACCGTTTCTTTTCTTCACTCTTGACCAAATCCGGCGTTTTAACGGTCATGGACGTTGGAGGCTTGACCAACGACTTCCCACCCCTGACGCTAGAAGCCATCGCTAGACGCCACCAATCGTCCACGATGGCGTCAACAACCTCAACCGTCACCAACGATCCCCCTGGGCGGAGGGGCCTTTTAGCCTTATGTTCACGTGGGGATAAGGCTCTTTCTTTCTTTCCAAGTTACGGTGTGAGGTCGAAAGAAGGGATCCGCTGTGTTTCTTTGTCGAGGCGGAGGAAAAGCTGCTCGCCACAAGGTTCCAGAACAAGGCAGTTTTTTCTCCCTTTATCTGGAGTATGTCTCCACCGGGCGTCTATTCTTCAGATCGCATGATGCGAGATTTGTCAACCTTTTGGTGTGCTGCTGACCCCTTGATCACTCACATCGAGACGAAGATCGGGACTACACATGCACGTCACTGTCAACTCCGATGGGGGATCGGACCTTGCACGATTCAGACAGCTGTCAGCAGGGGGCATGTAGTCTGTTGTGGCTCGTCGTGATGGACCGGGGGCTCCGGAGTTGTGGGAGAGGTTGCTCGCTCGGACGTGCGGGATCTTGAGTATCCGAGGCAATGACGACAGAGCCTTGGTGTTTCTTGCGGGTTGCTATCCTATTGTGGTATTCACGGAGCATGAATATGTCAAAGGTCCGTTTCCACTGAAGTCATCGCCGAGACCCAAGATGTGAGTGTTAGATCAGGCCTCAAGAAGTTCACAGGTAAGAACCCAGGCACCTGGGAGTGAGCCAACTATCAATTCAGTGCCTCTTAGGGGAGGTAATATGAGCCATTACGCTTGTATGTGAGTATTTGTTTTGGAACATGGCAATTCATTTATGGAGTAACACAGCAAGATGCTTGAAAGCGACGCTTGTATGAACAACTAATGAGCCGCGACATTTGAGTTGAAAATCAGGTGGAATAACGAGTAGACTAGTCAAATAATATCTCATAGATCCCGTTCAAACAGCCCTTAAAACAATTAGCATCAGACTTAGTTCTCTCTTCTCCTTGAGCGAGTTCTCCTCCCACCCTAGACCAACACACAAACACTACAAACAAGAAGCAGCAAGGATGTCAGCTAAAGGCAATCATCTATTTAATTATCTTGAGCTTTAGATCCCGTGGCCCTGTAATGATTTTCACGGCGATACTGCCATCTAGGTAAAGGAATGAGGAAGGTTGTGCAGATGAAGATGTTTGCCTTGGTAAACCTCTTTGTTCCCTGAGAAGGATTGTGACAATCATATCCCCTGGAAACAATGACTTGTTTATTTCCCATCAATGCTACGCACAAGAGTCATGCCCCTACCTCACACGATAATATTAACTATAGTGCAGGGTCATTGGTTTGGTGTGAGGCACTCAATTCAAGAGTGTCTGTGGGTGTGGTGGTTGAACTTTATCGGCCGTCTTGATCAAACAGACCCATGGAGAGAACGGCACGGCCGAGATAGTCAAACACAAGCCTCCACTACAATACTCGGCCCTTCCGAGCCCAGTGTTGATTGCAGGCTCTGCCAGCTCAACTTCAGAACATCATCTCACAGGCCGTGCCTCACCCAACGGCTAACAACTGAGACATCACAGCGTTGAACTATCCGCTACCCCACACACGCATCCGGTCTGTTGGAATGGACGCCCGCATGCGATCGAGAACAGAGGATTCGTGATCCTGAAGGCATCGTGAATCACGTCAAAGTGAAACAGACATCGTCTGCCTGGAGGGAGCCCGATCAAAACATCAAGACTCATGCGCTCCTCTCGATGAAACTTGATAATCTAACCTCAGAGGGCGACGTCCCGTGTTGGGGAGATTTCTGAGTAAGAGGACCGACGTTCCTGTAATGACCCGTGCCGCATAATGACAGTTTCAGATACATAGGCATCCTTCCGGGGGGTTTAGTTGGTTGGTCGGATAATCATCCCATATAGTCGTCTAGCGGAAACGAAACTTTAAAGCAGAGTGAAACCGTCTCGTCAGGGGCCAGTACGAAGAATAGAGTTGCGAGAAGTCTTGGAAGTCATAGCATTGTGCCTGTAGCACAGGATCTGGATCCTGCTGGGTGATGGAGAGAGCAGCATGCCACAGACAGAGTGGAAGGATTTGCACGCCTTGTTTGAGAAAACTCTTCAGCTCGATCATGATTAGGGCTCACAATTGTGTGTTTTGATCGGCATCTAGGGTTGATGAATAACCGAGACGTGCGGCATGCTTCGTGTCTGATCACGATTATCCGCCGTCCGGCTCAACGAGGTAGTAATCGGCCGAGTATGATAGACAGCAACCGCGGGGATCCATGGCTTGACAGACATTGTGGTGGACCAAACCTGTGGACCATTGACGTACTGCTGTGCTCGTAATGAGCAGGGCAAGGAGATAGACGGTCGATCACCTCGTGTCTGTGGAGGTTTGATGAGATTGATGCTTCTCTTGGGCTTCTCGGCCGTGTCAATCAGGCAACTCTAATTTCTCGAGATAAATCGCGCGGTAGGATCTTTTGCTTGGCGGGTTCGACTCTGTCTATTCAGAGTCCATGGTTCGACCACCTTGTTGGATTCTGAAACTCGGGGTCGGTTTTAGATCAGGGGCCCATGGCGGGTTGGCGCACACTAGGGCAAGAAGAGAGACAGTGGCCGATCGAGTCTCGCACGATAAACATTGTCTGTCACTGCTGCACTGTTGAATGCACTGTTGAACGCCAAGGGCAGAGTTGAAATGGCGATTTGCAGAGTCCTGTCATGTTGTTGGCGGAGAAGATAATGGTGGAGAGGTTGCGAAGATCTCGACAAAACAAACAAACGAGCTTCAACTTGCCATCACGTCATGCCCTTCTAGGCTCAGACTGAGTGTGACAGAGTGAAACGCAGGATTGGTTATGAGACTCATAGTGCGAAGCGGTGAAAGAGACTCTCGTAACAACAGACTCGGAGTGTAGCGAAAGCAGGTGAGGCCGAAATACGGGATAGCCAAGAAGAAGTAATAATTAGGTCCCTATCAGTCAGCAAAGACCTGAAATAGCCGGACGGAGAGTTTGCGCAAGTGCCAGGGCTTCAGCTCAGGGACCATCAAGCCTCGCCTCTCCACGGCCCCTCGCATGAGTGAGGGACGGGAGGGCTCTTGATTCGAGAGCCCTGGCGCCGTGGCCACAATCTGAAAGGCCAGACTCTCCCAGCGACTCAGAGATGCCCATGACACACCCTCACACAGACCCTGACACGCATTTCCCCGAAAGGCGCCAGGCCAGACGGCGGCATTGCCAAGTGTTTAACCAAGTTTGGCCAAGACCACAAGTAAAATTAGAAAAAACACACAACAAAGAAGTCTTGGGTGTGGCGGGTAGGCTCGGCCGATCCAGAACTGGAATGCGATGCCTCGTGATGGAGGCTCGTGTTTGCTTCTCCCTCTAGATCTTCAGATAGTCTTTTTTCTCGCCTCCGACAGAAATGGCCTCGTGGAGAACCTGTAGGAATGTCAGATCAGAGTGACGACGGCTCTGTTCTGTGGAGACCACAGTGAGAAGAGGCCATGGGTTAACACGATGGATCAACAAGGACGCTTGGACGAAGCGGGAAGGATGGAGAAGGACAAAGGAGGAGAACCGGCTGAGAGATGGGGAAGACGGAAGAGACTCGATTGCTTGCAAGTCAATTGTTGAACTCGGCACTGACCGGGCCAGGGATTGTAGTGACCTCTCCCGCATAATGACAGGCCCGCTCCCTGATGCAGGGCATGCATCAGATCAAGTGCTCCCTCTGTGCTGTGTAGGGAACACAGCGTATTGGTTGGTTGGTTGCACAGCAGTCAACCGAGAGGTCGCATGGCGGTGGCAGTCTTGTTTGCAGTAGCCAAGCACCATAATAGAACAGCTACCGTAATCAATGACCGACATCTCAGTTGAATGACCAAGCTGCTAGTGACATGCGCCAAGCTAGCTACCGACAGCTTATCTCGTGTTTGCTCTGGGCGACTTGGGCAAGTGACTTGGGTTTGCAGATGCTTCTCCACCGAAATGAGTGACTCTGCCGACCAACGTCTGCCAAAGATACGAGCAAAGGCACGAGATTCAGTGACAGACGATCTGATCACCCGGGATTCCTTGCCGGAGCGACTCCATCCTTCAGCGAGTCGGCGACGTTCGGCCGGCCCCCCCAACCAGACCCCTGGGACCTGAGAGGACAATGCTGCATGAACGGGCGCCGTGTGAGCTTGTGGCAGCTTCTGACAGAGGGGAGAGCCTTCAGGGGTCTGCTAGACCTTGTCTGCGCCTCTCGTCTGGCACATGTCGACCCTTGCCGAAAGCAGCCTGGTCCTATTTGTGGTAAAGCGCGTGCGAATGTGGACTCGTCTCGTAGACTAAACGGCGGCCGAAAGGCTTCGTTTTCAGTCACGGTTGCTACGACGCCCGAACCTTTTGTCGTTGATCATCTCGTATTGGTCTCGGCACTGCTAGCCTCTACGACGACTTTTTCCGGCGTGGTTCTTGGGTAGACAGACCGTGCGGGATGATATCGTGGATCGTCAGGGACTGTACTGTAACCACGCGCCGTCAGCACAGATAAGGTAGGGAGCTGCGAAGGGGCTTCGTCATCAGGAGAGGGCCGCTTACTGTACGGAGACAGATGCTGAACAGTGGCAGCACAGTACGGTAGCAGTGCAGCAGCCCTGTCGCCTGTACGAAGTGGACGTCATGGGTATCCTCTCCCCACCAGTGTCATGGGGAGATCAGATCACGGTCGGGTTATCAGCCTATCGCGCACGTGCGGATTCGTAAAGTTCCGGGTACCGAGCACCTTTGTGGCCGTGGCCGTTGCCTCTGGGTCGTGCAACAATGGTGACTGGTTGAACGATACGATAATTCATTCATTGGATATCAGAGACAATTGAATTGAATCCATTGTTGACTGTTGAGTTGAATCTTCCTGCTCAGGTCAATTTGCGTGAGCCACTGTGGCTGGGCTTTCCCCTTCTGGTGGCCGCGTAATACAATGGATGTCTCTGTCTGCAGCATCGTCTGCTTCTGGACCATGGCTGGAACACGTCTCAGCGGTAGCGTCCACTGAGAGGCCGCTGGAACCGTCTTTTCTGCCCGTTCTCGTCCGTGGTAGGGGGTTCTGTCTTGGCCTGCGCCAGGGTGAGACCCCTAGACCCTCTTGGCGTCACCCCGTCGCTCTTGCCCTTGACCGGACGGCTCCATGCTCCATCAGGGGTTGCCTCACAATGGAAGGAATCCACCGTGGGCAATCTTGACCCACCGGACCCGAAGCGCCTGCCCAAGCTGGTCCTGGCCCTGGAGGCGCCGATAGCAGATGGACCCTGTCCCGTCTTCGTCTGTCAATAAAACACCACCATCTCCAGCTCCTCTTCGGACTGCCTCTCTTTTCTTATTTGCCGTGGCCATATATTTATTCCCTACTAATCAACCTGCTTCCCGTTTCTCACGGAGCTCATTCTCCTCGTCTCTCGCTAGATCACTTATATACAACTCCTACAAGCGGCGACCATCTCTCGAAGCCCTTGAGAAAAAGCACCTTGATTTCATACACCACAGACAACACACAGCCTTACCTTTGAAAACCTGACACAGCTTTTGCACGACGCAATGTTCTCCAAGGCTCTTTCTACCGCCGCGGTGGTCCTCGCTGCCGCTGGCCTGGTCTCTGCCCAGACTTATACCGACTGCAACCCCCTCAAGAAGAGTATGTTGCCTGGTGTTGGATATTCTCGGATACCCGTGTTTTAACCTGTATCATTGCTAACTCGCGCCTAGCCTGCCCTGCCAACCCTGCATTTGGCGACAACAAGGTCGACTGCGACTGGACAAAGGGTGAATGCGATGCCTTCCACAGCATGATTGGAACCAGCCTCAAGTACGACGGCAAGGGTGCCTCGTTCATTATCAACAAGGAGAGCGATGCTCCCACCATCCGAACAGACAACTACATTTTCTTTGGCCGAGTGGATGTCGTTGTCCAGGCCGCCCAGGGCCAGGGAATTGTCACCAGCGCCGTCCTTCAGTCCGACGACCTCGACGAGATCGATTGGGAATGGGTTGGTGGTGACAACGCCCAGGTCCAGTCCAACTATTTCAGCAAGGGTGATACCACCACCTACGACCGCGCCGTCTACCACCCCGTTTCAGCTCCTCTCACTTCGACTCACAAGTACTCCGTTGAGTGGACCTCGACCAAGATTGACTGGCTCATTGACGATGCCGTTGTCCGTACTCTGAACGCTGCCGACGCCAAGGGCGGATCTGCCTTCCCCCAGACCCCCATGCAGATCAAGATGGGAACCTGGGTTGCTGGAGGCAAGAACAGCAACGCCGGAACCCGAGAGTGGGCTGGTGGCTACGTATGTCATGATGCTTCCCTGATATTGAAATATGCTGACAAGTATAGACCAACTTTGATGATGCCCCCTTCACCGCCTACTACAAGAGCATTACCATTGTCGACTACGCTGGAAAGGACGCCCCTGGCCAGAACGCTGGTGCTAAGGAGTACGTCTACGGCGACAACTCTGGTGACTGGACTAGCATCAAGGTGAAGAAGTCTAGCTCCACCGACGATGACGAGAAGACCACTACCACCAAGGTCTCCAAGACTAGCACCACTGCCGAGCCCACCAAGACCAAGACCGCCGAGACCACTTCCACCGAGGAGGAGACCACGACCACCTCCAGCTCGACCAAGAAGGAGTCCAAGACTTCCACTAAGGAGGAGACCTCGACCAAGGAGGAGGAGACAACCACTGCGGAGGAGACCAAGACCTCTGAGGTCGCCACCACCTTTACCACTGCTGCTGCTACCTCCAACGACGCCAGTGCCACTACCACCGAGGCCGGATCCGGCTCTAACGGTGCCCAGGAGACTGGTTCTGCTACCGAGACTGGAAGCGACGCTGCTCCCTCGGTCAGCACTGTTCCCGTCAACTCTGGTGCCCGATTGGCCGGCAGCGTTCTCGCTGCTGCTGGTCTCATGATGGCCCAGATCCTCATCTAAAACCCTTCACTTCTGGATGTACACTATCTTGTTCTGGGGTCGCAAAGCATGTAGAGCTTGCAGACTACACGCAGAGAGCAGACCATTCTAATTAACTTATTCGAGTCGATCCTTACGCTCGCCAAGGCAACGCCCCCTTATCGCTCGAAGAGTTGTGGAATGGACGAGGCGCAACACGCACGCATGCACACAATTCAAAGAGGGCACTTGGCAGGCACAACACCTTTCAAAGATGCTGCGTTTTAATAGGCCTGCTCTCTAGTGGTCGTATCCCAAGAGACAAGAATCTTGGCCTTATCTCGCCTTTGGGGTGCCGAGGCGCTAGGCATGGGGGATTACGATGTTTGGCACGGTGGTTTGAGGATATGATTGAGCACGGATTGGATGAACATATACACTTGGCATCTCGGATGCGCGTCGACGATTGATTGATTTTGAGCTGTTTGATTTGGGTTAGAATTGTCGGATTTTACACAATGATGCATCGCGGATGCTTTTTTCGCACGATACCTTTTGATAGAATTTACACATGACAGCGATTGCCTTTATCCGGAGTCCCTGGTCTAACCCTGTCGAGTGCCTGTAGTCCCTGTCCAAGTCCCTGCGCTGCTCATTTCATCCAGACTCCACGAGAGCCACGTCTCTGCAGGTGGGATAGAGGCACAGAGAGGGTCCTCATTTCCCTCCCATTCTGGCCAAGGCCCGTCTGTATGGGCGATGAGGCGGCGCTAGAGAAGAGCTAGAAGATGCCGGGTACCGAGCCTTGAGGGATACAAGGGCCGTTTTTGCCGTGAGGGGAGCTTTTATTGAAGGGGAACGAGAAACAATAATTCGTTGCTGCGTATCCGGACTCCGAAGGACTCCGGAGATAATACTGAGTTGGCTGTACATCAATAATCGCCCATAGTCTGTACGCAGCCCTGCCCAACACCTGTTGGTCCGGACTAATCAATCTGCCGTTCGTATTCAAGCCTTGGCCTCATCTGTAGCGGTCCTTGAGGGAAATGACGATGCTTCAAGACGGGACCTCGTGGTTTTTTCTCCTCCCCCCACGTCTTGTACAAATCCTTGTCTCTCTAACTGGGGTAGATCACAAACCTGGTTGATTATGATTGACATATGAAACCGCATCGACTTATCGTCAGGCATTTGAGGGATCGCGAATGTCACTTGGATTCCTTTTTCTGTTTGAATGACGTGACAGAGATCCGATACTGCGGGGGAAGGAATTTATGAGACGCAGCCCTTGGATACTATGACAGCTTGGACATTTGCCCCTCGTGGTGAATGTTTTGGCTTATCAGTTGCAATATTACTCCTCTGTTTGTTATCATCCCCAAGTCAATTAGCGGCGTGTCAGCTTGCCAATGCAACGCGATTTACAACGCTAGTGATGATCCTCCTTGCATGCCTCGACTCAAGAAGGGATTTAATTTTCGGTCATCTTTGTGGTATCGCAAGGGTTGAGGTTCAAGGGATCAATCCCCTTGTGGCTTGAGGCTCATGATGTTACTGTATCTGGTGTGAATATTCAATTTTCTTACACATAGTCTGCTTTTGCCGATACACTGGAGAAGCCCTTGTTTTCGCTCAAGGGCAACCAATCTCCAAGTCAATTAGCTTGGCTGAAGAGCGCCAAAGTCTTGGGGTGATTGTCTTTCGCAGTTGATGTTACTACTGCGATCCCGTGAGTGCCCAAGGGCCTCCAGGCCTTACCTCGCCCTAGTGTTGTCTTTCTAGCAGTCGGTAGGTGGCATAAGGAGTCTTATTGCCTCGACCTTTGCACTACCTGATCCTAGGGTGGAAGGGAGGTGACAATGATGTATCTTTCCTTTTGAGAGCTTTGATCGGTCTATGGCTCATTGGGTACTCCTTGGAGGTCCTTGGGCACTCATGGGATATATCCGCCAAAGCGATGCCGGCATAATTGGGTTGATAGCTGTCTTTCTCTTGCTGGGCTGCCTTGATCTACTTTTGAGTATGCTATGAGGTTAAATTACTTGAATGTCCGCCAAAGTGCCCAAGGACCTCCAAGCCGTACCTCGCCCCAGTGTTAGGTCATTAACAGCTAGTGCGGACTTGAGGAACCGTGACTGATAAGGCCATATCATCTAGATACTTTGTCCTGGGCGGCATAGAGTAGAACTGGAGGTATCGTGATAAACAAGAGCTTTGATTGGTATTGACCCCTCATTGTGACCTGCTTGGGGGTTTAGGATCACTGGTGATAGTCTCGTCTTGTACTGCTGATGGATCCAATCCAATCTGTGGACATGACTTCGTGACTGGTTAGTGGCTGAGTTAAGAGGCTTGCTGCCTTCGGTGAAGACTCATCCTTGACACTCACCAACACCATCACATTTGGCGGCAATTAGAGAGCTATAGGGCCAAGGGATTGTATCAAACCAACGATATATCCTTCTAGCTATCCGAGCCTTCATGAGGACTATCGTCGTCTAGCTTCAACTTCAAACATCAACAATGTCGTCGCGACCGCCCATCTTTCTCCTCCCCAACTCTCCATCCTGTCGAGTTCTTGATCGGTTCAGCGATTTACCCGACGATGTTGAAGTTGAAGAGGATGAATCTGGATGCATCCCATTCTGGCCTCTACTGCAGCATCTCCTCCATCTTCCTGTCTCATCAGTCTCACAACTCATAGACCGGATGCAGACTATTGCCGCCAATGCAGGTACATGTCAAGACAATGACTTTGGAACACTGAAAGAGTTTGTGAGCACTCGAGGCGAGGATAAATTCTTTAGCATGACATGGCCGAAACTACGCGACATCGCCCTCGACCTTCCGACCTACTTCCCCAGTGGACAACTTGAGCTTCTTCAACCAGGTCTACCTCTACGTCTAAGCCGTGGCCAGGTCGCTTGCTTGGTCATACACCAGTTCTTATGCTCTAGTGTCCCTCAGAGAGACGATGAAGGCTACCAGGACTTGGGCATCTGGTATTCGTCTGAGCAAAGACATCCTGCAGCGGTAGAGATGTACCTCGAAGCACTCTTCATCTACTTTGAACATCTACCCAAAGCCTCCGATCTGCTTCAAGATCACACAAGTTTTACGGATGGCACCGAAACCTGCGTCGTATACGAGCTGTATCGGAAAGAGAACGAAGTGGCTCTGGAGATGGCAAAGTTGGCACCAGTTCATGTCAGCTATCTTGACACCCACACAACCGATATACACAACCCCGAAGTCCAAGGAAAAGGAGGTGCTGCTGTCGTCTCTGCAAACAAGATCATTGGGTTCGGTCAGTCGGCGACACAGGAAGAGATATTTGTCGGAATCGCGCCAGAGAGTTATCCTGTCGTTCTGGTCGCACCACACCTCGCAGATGGCACCGTTATTACTGTGTCAGGTGCAAGAGCAATGTTGAATGTCAAAGGTCAGCGGAGGCAGATTGAATGGAGCCCTGTTCCCATTCCACCCCTGATCGAGGGTGTCGAGCGGCCGGGCGGTCGTCTCGTCTTCATGGATGCGTTGGAGATGGACATGCTTGAGCCATCATCTGAAGGGTCCTTACCTGATCTGCATCCGGAAAACATCGACCGAGAGATCAAAAAGGCAACCGCAGGCTTCGAATTCTACCAAGGAAATGCTGTCTTTACCGGCCTCTGGGGGTGTGGCGCATTCGGAGGTGACCCAGGGGTAAAGCTGATAATTCTCTGGATTGCAGCAGCAGCAGCGGGAATTAGACTTCATATAGTCCTTGGCCCAGAAGAACACGAGCTCGGAGTTGCATTCGAGAGGGCAGTCAAGGTCGGTGAAGGCTCATCTGCAAAGATGATCAGGGACACGTTGTTGAAAGCTCCGGAGAAACTGCAAAGGGAAGGGATCCTAGAGTGGATTGAACAAGCGGTGTCAGGGACTCCATGACACTTGGCGTAGTACGTCCAAGACCTGAGAAAGAGGCTGTGTATCTTGGCCGGCAGTTGATATCATGTTGACTTGTCATGAGGATCTAGAGTGCGGGCGTCTTCATCCACAAACCCCCTGAGCAATGTCGTCTGTTGGAAAAAATCTGTATGTTTTAGATATTGGATTGGAGGAGAAACGTGAGAGTTCTTTGAGTGCATTTGTCATGTATCACCTTGGCATGCGGAATGTTGAGTCAGGGTCAATCTTGATATGTCGTTGAAGCTGTCCGGGGGCTGGGTAGGAAATGGACTCATTACTGGCATAGCCACCAAGGCGGTTAAGAAATCTTTAGACATTCAACGAATTAGAGGCATGTTTTTCTTTTATTGTAGTTACCATTAGTTTTGAGCAACGGTGTTGGATGCGTAGCTATGGAAAATATGGCGATACTCCTTTCTATTATTTCCCAACAGCCTTCACAGCACGACAGCCAAACCTCCATTGCGAATACAGGGTAATCTACTATCCCAACATGAAATCATTGTATTCTAAACATCAATTAAACTGGGATATACAGAAAGGCGAGGATTGTTCAGTAAATGGAAGCCAAGACAGAAACCAAATTTCCGAGAGGAAGACTCAACCCGCTTACAAGTCAACACCGGCCTTCCAGAAACCATGATCCTCCTCACTTGGCAGAGGTCGAACCTACTTGGCAAGACTCGTCCTTACTTGGCACACACAGATTCACATCCGACTTAGCCGTCTTGACGTTGCCTCGACGGCGGCTGTGCGCATGTTTTTAATGGGGACTGCTTGCGCGTTTGTCAGATGACAGGGTATGTCTGCGACAGGGGGAGAGTCCCGGCATGGCGGGTGGTATCCCTGTAGAACGACGGGAACTGGGGGACTCTCGGGATGGGTTTGAGTTGAAGTACACGTAACTGTCAATTGGAATTTGAGTAGAGGAAAAACAGAGCAATGGGTGAGGCTTGCGTCAGTTACCTGACAGACCTACCCAGGATTGTCCATACTGTACACGGAGAAAGTGTGTTTACCGTCATGAACTGACTAGCAAGTGAGCTAGCCAAACCACTTCACTAGCCATCACACACCTCAATAACGATAGGCCAGCTACATTAAGCTTCTCTGCATTACGCTTTTAACCTTTTTTTTCTTTAGGCGCTCATTTCTATTTATGAGCTTATTACTCTATCTTGAAGCGATTTCTCTTCAAATCAATCACTGTTCGAGTGTCTGTCATTTCAGCACAAAAGGGGCATCGTGCCTCACCGTCGCTTCACCGTACCTTGCATGTCATCCTTGTCCCGCCAAGCCGGATGGAGCCGTCTGGACCGTGATAGGGCAGATTAAAGGAAGGGTACATGTGTTGCGTGATGATGGCTTCAGTGTTTGCAAGTAAGATGTGATGAGCTGACGTTTCACTTGCATCTTTATATTCAATTTCTTAATGTATTGTAGACAGACTGTATTGTAGGCGTTGTGGTTGACAGTTTTGTTGATTCTGTCGATCCGATCACCCATTTCCGACTACTACCATAGATCGCCCACTCTTCCTTTGTCGAAAACCGCAAGGCCTACATCTGATCAATCCCCCGGACCCTGCACCCCGATTAGGACAAAACACCTCCGAAGGGAGAGCTCCGGACATCCCCACTTTTCCTCGGGGCGCCTCCGTTTCATGTCCCCCCCGGCTTCCACACAGACATCAACTCCTCCCCATCTTCATCGGAGAATTCTCCCATTCGTGCGACTTTGTTTCTATTCCATGTTTGCCATGCGACTTGGCGTCCTTTGTTCATTAGAGGTGGAGTCTTTTACGGCAATAACGGCATCTTTGGTTCCAAGACCTGTGATGGCTTCCAGTATAAAAGAAGTCCGGATGGCATTTGGAAACAAACTTCTTTTTGTCTTTGTTCCTCATTCCAAGCTTTTTCTACCTCATTCTCTCGTTTGTTATTCGTTCGTTACTGTCTGGACTGGTTCCGACTTCCACTCTTTGAAAACTATCAAAAACATATCACCTTTTCAACCAATTTCAAGTATATATAAATCGTCAAGATGAAGTTCTTTGGCATTCTCAACCTCGTCGCGCTCGTCAGCGCCGTTCCCACCCCCACCATCAAGGATGAGGCTGGCAACGTCGTCCTCGCCAAGCGTGCCTCCATCACTGAGAGCTGCAACATCGGTTACGCCTCTCAAAACGGCGGCACCACTGGTGGAAACGGCGGCTCTGTGACCACCGTCTCCTCCCTTGCTCAGTTCAGCGCTGCCGCTGAGTCCACTGGCAAGCAGGTCATCTACGTCAAGGGCACCATCACTGGCGCTGTCAAGATCCGCGTCAAGTCTGACAAGACCATTGTCGGTGCTGCCGGTGCCACCCTCAACGGTGTCGGTCTGTACATCAACAAGCAGAAGAACGTCATTGTTCGCAACCTTGCCATCAAGAACGTCAAGGCCAGCAGCGGTGACGCCATCGGCATCCAGGCCTCCACCAACGTCTGGGTCGACCACTGCGACCTCTCCTCCAACAAGGACAACGGCAAGGACTACTATGATGGTCTCCTCGACGTCACCCACGCTTCCGACTTCATCACCGTCTCCAACACCTTCATCCACGACCACTACAAGGCCTCGCTTGTCGGCCACTCTGACAGCAACTCCAAGGAGGACACTGGCAAGCTCCACGTCACCTACGCCAACAACTACTGGTACAACGTCAACTCGCGTGCCCCCTCTGTCCGATTCGGCACCGTCCACATCTACAACAACTACTACCTTGACATTGGTGCTACTGGTGTCAACTCTCGCATGGGTGCCAACGTCCTCGTCGAGTCCACCACCTTCGAGAACGCCAAGACTGCCCTCACCTCGGTCGACTCCAAGACCACTGGCAAGATCACCGCCAAGGACGTTGCCCTGGGTGGTGCTGCTTCCAACGCTCCCGCTGGCTCCATGTCCAGCTCCGACATCCCCTACAAGTACACTCTTGTCGGCAGCGGCAAGGCCAAGAGCGCCGTCTACGGCACTGCTGGCCAGACCCTCAAGCTCTAAGCGACCAACCATTAGCCCATGCCGATGGAATGGCTATAATTTCAATGAGGCCCGTCTCACTTTGTAGTGTACATATTTACTTGATAGCTCAACTTCTTGGTTGGACTTGTCTATAATAGAAAGCATTGGCCGAAAATGGTTCCATTATCGTGATGTATTGTATGCAGTAGGATAAGGCTATCAGTCTAGGTATGATATCAACTTCCGCGTATGATCAATCATGACCATTCCACCGCGTACACTGTCCCTTTAGGCGATATTACACCAATTGCCTGGTCCTGGCTCTGAGGCCTTTCCTCCAGTGACACCGACATCACTCCATGCCTTCTTGACCTTCTTCGCAGCAGATTCTCCGTAGAGATCCTGGGCACAGTCGACTGTAACATCGGCAAACTGCTTGAATGTGCACTTGGAAGGGACCTTGCCAGACTTCATCGCCTCCCACCAGATCTTGCCCGCCTTCTCCCACGAGTATCCGCCAAATGCGACTGAGACAAGGTGAAAGGCTTTGTTGGGAATCCCAGAGTAAACGTGAACTCCACCATTGTCCTCAAACATAGTCGTGAAGTCCTTCATGTGAGAAACCTGTGGATCCTTGCCCTGTATACTGTTAGCTGTGGTTTGAGGAGCTGTCTGTAAACTTACAAAACGTGGATCATCGTAGGCGGTTCCGGGCGCCTTCATGCTCCTCAAAGCCGTGCCTTTGACGCCGGGAAGAATGCAGTCTTCACCAACGAGCCAGTCCGCCGCATCTGACTTTTCGTCTTGAACCTTTTGCTTGACCATGATACCAAAGACATCAGAAATGTGCTCATTTAGAGCACCAGACTGGCCGTAGTAGTCAAGAGGACTGGTGTGTTCCGTGACTGCGTGTGTCAGCTCGTGTCCGATGACATCGATGCATCCAGTGAAGTTGTTGAGGAACTCGTCACCATCCCCAAAGACCATCTGCAGCTTCTCGGGATCCCAGACTGTGCTGTTAGCAAATAAACAGATAGTTATGGATCTCACTTACAGGCATTTTCGTAGCGTTTTCCAAAGTGAACAGTGCTGATGATATCCATGTTCTTGTTGTCGATGGAAAGCCACTTGAAATACTTCTTGTAAAACTCCAAGACGATACCCACATTGTCGTAGGCCTCATTGACGGCCTTGTCCTTTGTCTTTGCCTGTCCTTCAGAGCGAACGAGCTTGCCTGGAAGATCACTCTCGTCGGTGCTGTTCTGAGCGTCATGAATGGCGCGGTATGGGGCGTCTTTGGGAGAGCCCTTGTCCTTGTCCTTGTCTGCTGTAGCATTGAGAGATTGATCCACCGATTCACCTGTAACAAGTTAAATAAAGAAGTATGGAAAGTCATGAGTTGAATCACCTTGCTGGGCGGCCTGGACTTTTCCGAGGATCAGCTGGAGGTGGTTCAAATCTCGTCTGGCACGGGCGCGAGTGGTCTCATCAACTTGATCTGACTCAGAAATATGGCGAAGCAAAGTATCAGGAATGATGTGCTGAGGCTGAAAGTTGACGGGGCGACTGCTTTGATAGCCACGAGGAGCCGTCAAGGCAGCGAGACGCTCCTTTCGCAGAGTAGTGATTCTGTCATGAGCTGCGAGCGAGGCCTGAGCTGCTTTGCGAATGTGTTCTGGGTTGCTTTGGCTATCGGCGATGCCACGAAGAAGATGAGGGGGAACGATGTAGCAACGGCAAGGCATGTTGTGGTCGATTGACGCGAGACGGTAGTTGAATAGAGTAATGCAAGTGAACTAGTATTTTCAGGGGTAGTAATGATGCAGATAGGGATGATGCCGAGAATCCAACAATGAAGTAGATGGAGAGGAGTATTAAAGAAGAAGAGATCGGTCTGGAGAGATGGGAGATCGTTTTGATCCCTTCCACCTAGACAACACTGAGGCATGTTGGGAAGGTATAAGGGAGGAAGGCCCTGGCGTTGATGACGAGGAGAGGAAACACATGGTCACAAAGGAAGCACAGCGTCTTGGTCTCGTGTAAGTATTACAGATGGTTCTACTGAGCTTTGGAACGAGCTTTAAGAAGAATAGCATCGCTTATTCCGAGATGTGCAGTCCGAGTTGAGGTCCATGATGATCGGGTGGTGATACCAGCCACGTGAATCACTCCCGTCGCTTCTCGAATGTTGCGTGCATCCACCGAAGCTCGACAGTACCTACCTTGCGTTATGTTGCCTTGAATTTCCCCTGGCGTCAAGGAAGGAGGCCTTGGGGCCCTTTTGCATGCTGTGAACTCCCACCACCACAAGAAGTCAGGGGAAATGGCCAACGTGAGAGGATGTACTTCCTGGCAACGACTATAGTCATGAGAAAAAATGAATCATTGAACGCCCCAATGATTCCACTGTTTCAAGACTATTGTTCCGTCGAGGCATGGCAAAAGCTGGCGATGAGAGGTGTTGATGTTAATGGGAAGCTCCTGCCTAGATCTGCCACTCCTTGCTCATTGCCACATCTGTGGGAAGGTACAGTCTTCCTCCAGTCAAAGCGAACAAGGTAGGTATGTACCATCAGATGGACATCATCCGAGTCATCGACTCCTGCAAGCTGCATCACCTTCCGTCGTCATCGCCATCATCATTTGAGGTTCACGATGGCGAGTCAAGCCCAACAAAGCTCCACACCGTCCTCCTCAGGCGAGGCTCAACAGCCTCAACCAACAGCATCACAAGGGTCACACGAGATCCAGCGGCGCTACAAGTTGGCTCCCTCGACATTCAAGACGCTTTGTACCATCCAACGTCACCCCACTCGCCCAGACATTCTCAAGAAGGCTTGCTTTGCGACCGAATTTCGTTCGTTTCCTATCAAAAGAGGCGAGACTGCCTTTTGTAGAGCCATCAATGACACCACCGGTATTCCCTACCCGATCTCCGAGAACATCTCTCAGCCATGGCACAAAGTCTTCCTCCTCGTTCAATTGAATATGTCAAGAGCGACCTGGCCCAACAAGCTCGCTGGGCCAGCCCGGAAAGAACTCAGCCAGGAACTTCATCGTATGTACTCAGCTCTTGACAACGTGCTGAGATGCCTTGTGGATATCCTGGGAGAACGTGGCGATGGAAAGGGAGTACGAACAGCTCTCGATGTGCTCAGGAGCGTCAAGGCAAATGTTTGGGAAGGGAGCGACAACGAGCTGTTGCAGGTTGAGGGCATTGGTCCCGTGAAAAAGGAACGACTTGTACAGGCCGGCATCAAAACCATCAAAAAGCTGGCCAAGCTCGAGTTTTATCACATTGAGCGTCTTCTCAGCCGAAATCCGCCCTTTGGCCAAACAATTCTGCACCAACTGGCGGGGTTTCCTGTCCTTACACTGGACTTTGAGATTGTCAGCCAATACAACCCTGAAGCAGAACCATCGGACGAGTCTGGTCAAGCTTGCGCCGAGCAACGAATTGACAAACCGCTTTGGATTGCTCGAGCTGTCCTTGGCTTCACAAACAAGGAGACACCATTCTGGAACAGCAGTACACCATGGCTATCGCTAGTAGTTGAGGGGAAAGATGGGCGACTTGTCTGGTTCTGGCGAGGCAGTGCAAAACGGCTTGTGGATAGTAAGGAAATGATTATCGGGTTGGCAGCGGAGAAGGGCGAAGAACTCAAGATTGTGTTGGCATGTGAGGGAATTGTCGGGACCATGATACAGATGAATGTTGTGGTGTGAGTGAGTGATCTATGGCAAGACATGAAGACACGCTGATGGCAATAATGAAATGGATTCTCTCATCAGGTTGCTTTCTTTGTTATCTAGTCCGGCATTCTTGAGAGCTCTCGCAAGGCCATTGTTGAGTGAGGCACTAATACATCAGGTCCAACACTAACAATTGCCCACATCAAGACAACGCAGACTGTTGGTTTTACTTTTGGCAAGGCAGATTTGGGTCGTCAATGCAAGAGGCAAGTTGAGACCTGTATCACTGATTAGTTAACAACAAGGCAGCATTCTTGAGCCCACAGGGATCGCCTCTACACAGCACAGTTTCCCGACCGCTTGACTCCATCTGGACCAGGTCGGCCGACTTGGCTGCAGAACAAAACCCCAGCACCTTGCAGACTGTTGTCTGGCGATATATCACGCATGACCTCATTGGAAGAGAGTTGGCCAGCCAGACCCAACGAAGCCCGTTCTGCCCTGCGCGAGCTACTTTCCAGTCTGGGATAGCACCTAGCCTGAGAGAGCACTTGATCCAATCTCAGGTGTGCTCAGACAACCAGCCCGTCGTTGTAGGGCAGAGAATAAGGGTGGGCTGGTGGAGACAAGCACTCAAGCTCTCATTATCGTTGGTGGTCAGATCCAAATTTGGAACCCCGACCCTTGCCACTAAGAAGTTTAATCTCAACGTTGTTGGCGGCGGTTTCACACTCAGCCCTTTCATGCACTTATATCCCGGTCAACAAGTCGCAAATGCTTCTTGAGCAAACAAGCCAGCTTTGCTGCATGATGGTTGCACCGAGGCCCAATCACCAAGTGGCGAAATGCTCGAGAATCCTACACCTGCGAGGTACAAGCCTGTGGATGGACGGCTCTAGACTGGTAGACCTGGGGTCTCGTGCCGTGTGACCGACAACAACACTCAACGCGTGAAGATCGTCCTCGTCCTTCCTCTCTTGTCGATAGGCCAGGCTAGAGATATCCGATCAATGCAGGGATTCCTTCAGCTGAACCCCAGTCCACCCAACCCGAGCAAAACGACGTTTCGTCCGTCAGCGCTGGGGCGCGATGATCCGGAGCTTGTTTGATTTCGAGCGGGGTGAGGTTAAGCCGTCTGACAATTTAACTCGAGCCCAATTTAGCCCAGGAACAGCACATCCTGGCCACCTGTTGGTCAACAAGTTTTCGTTTTGAAGCTGTGGTAACGAGTTGCTCAAGGAACTCGCCAGTTCGCGTGGCAAACAAAGCCATAGCAGCCTAATAGGCAATCATGGGAGAAGATCCAGCTTGAATTGGTGGGCGATCTGCTGCCTTAGCGCGGGAACTGTACCCGCAAGAAGCCATCACGAAGCCATCTCCTGCCTTGACCCTTGAGATATTGCTTGGCGCCACAAGATGCATGAGCATCCCGGGCTAGGCTGAAGCCAACCGGCCTCTGACTCGACGGAAGGCCTTTCGGGTCGTGCCCATGACAAGGCACATCAAGCCTAGTTGCCTAGGTGCAGAGTTAGCATGGGATCCTGCTCCATGTTCTTATAAGAGGTGAACTTGTCCCACGAACTTGCGCTGGTACTTGGCCTTTACGCTCAAAGAAACCTTCAAGCCCCCTTCTCTGAACGCCACCGAGATTCTGTTGTATTTGGTATTCACCATGTTGCGATCAACTCTCCTCGTCTCCCTTTCTGGCCTCGCAGCTGCAGCCAGCAACTACAACTTCAACACTCACCAAGCCCACCAAAAGGGCCTTCTCATCCCCGGCACCGGTTCCCAAGCCCTTACTTTCAGTCTCACTGGAACTTGCACTGGTAGCCAGAAATCATGCGGAGACGCCTGCATCGAATCGGGGGGCCAGTGTTGCAGCCCCAGCCTCGGCACCTACTGTGAAGACGGGACCTACTGTACTGCCAGCGGTTGCTGTCCTGATGGAGAGATCTGCTCGGGAACACCAAGCGGCTGCGCAAAGGGCAAGGAGCTCTGCGGCCAGTATTGTATGCCTGAAGGAAAGGTCTGCTGTGGTACTGGATACTGCAACGAAGGCCAGACTTGCAGCCTAGGAGAGTGTACTACTGGCTCTGGAAGCTCTGGTGGAAGCTCTGGAGGTTCTGGAGGTTCTTCCGGTGGTGGCTCTTCTGGTGGTTCCAGTGGTCCCAACTGCTACAGCTTCCAGGAGGAGTGTGACGACGGCTGTATGCCCAGGGGAAGCGTCTGCTGCGGTGGTGGAAAGTACTGCTTCTCCGGCGAGACCTGTCAGAGCGATGGTACCTGCAGATACAGCACTAGTGGTGGAGGAACCAGCGGTGGTAGCAGCGGAGGTTCCGACGACGACGACGATGATGATAACAGCGGAAGTGGAAGTGGAAGCGGTAGCAGCAGTGCCGACGACGACGACGACGCTACCATCACTCAACCTTCACTGACCGAGCCTACCTTTTCTTCTCCCTCCTTTACCGAGCCCTCTCTCGAACCCGTCCCCACGATCGGAGAAGAACCTACATTTTCATCCCGCCCTCTTCCCACTGGACCAGTGTCTGGTGGCCCCGACGACGACGACGGTAGTGATAGCAGCAGCAGCAGCAGCAACACTGGTGGTGGCAACACTAACGCTGGTGTCATCAACGTGCCCAACTTCCTCGCTGGCCTCATCGCCTTGATTCCCCTTCTTCTGTAAACCACATATATGATACGGAGTCGGAGGGGACTTGTGCCATTATTATCGGAAACATGAAACGGCCTCGATGGAATATCCTGGGAGAAACATGGATGGAAATAACGAAGCGATATAACGTGGGATCGTGGTATTAGCCCAGTCAGTATCGATGTGTTTTAGCATACCACAGTGTCTTTTGAATAATAAATACCCTTGAGCGAACTCCTGAGTCTTGTATAAGTGAACTATCTGTCATGGCAAGTTGGAACGGTACATGAGGCTGAAAGGTCGACTTGATATAGGCTGTCTCGTGGCTTGGTTCCTGCATCAAGCTGCGCGTGATGCCTCCTGGCTTGCGCTATTGAACATGTATCTCAGCCACCTTGGTCCCATTTGTCAACGGACATAACCCCTTGTGTGCCTGACATTGGAAGATGTGACCTGCCGTGAGATGCCAGGTCTTAGTGTTAAAGCCTCGCGAGACCATCCATTGCTTTATCCCTTTATCGAAGCTGTTGCTAAGCCCCCCATAGTCGGGCTACCCAGAGCCTGCCTTTATACACATCTGTAAACATGTCAGTGAGATATCACACATGATACTCGGAAGGACTTCTGAGCCAAGATATTAGTGAGTCGTGAATATTTCAATTCATTGTTGACCTCCCTGCTTCAACAACAGGTGAGATACAGCCGGGATCAGGCCTACTACCAAGCCTACTCCCTCCTTTTTTGCCATACGCTTTGAGTGTGAAAAAGAAAATAAACCATATAGTACAACGTTGGCGCGCTCCCCCTTTCCCCTCCCTTGGCTCTAGAGTAATGATAGACCCCCTTCACGAGATCCCTATAAGTACATCCGCTAAACGCCGCTATTCATGGTTGTTGTTGGGTTGTTGTTTTGTGTCTGATAGTTGAGTGGGTGTGGTTTTCATGTGTTTCCTCCATGAATGTGGTGATGGATTTAGAATGCCTGGCTGCTTTATTTCTTGCCAGCAGCCTGGTTGAAGCCTTCAAGGACTGTCTCCTTGACACCGGGCTTCTCGCCGTGAGAGGTTTCGGACTCGTCCGCCTCTGAGGACTCCTGCTTGGGTCCGACGAGACCCTTGGCCATGGAGCGTGCCTGAGCATCGCCCACCTTGCCGTAAACGCTGAGACCTGTGGCGATCATGCCACCGATATCGCCGACGTTGCCGGGAACGACAACAGCAGTGCTCTCGCGAGCAAGCTTGCTAAAGGCGTCGACGTACTTCTCGGCGACGCTTAGGCTGACGGCAGCCTGGGCGCCAGCCTCACCCTTGAGGATGCTCTTCGCGACAACATCAATACCCTGAGCAGTGGCATGTGCCTTGAGACGGATAGCCTCGGCCTCACCATCTGCCTCGTTGATGCGTTCCGCCCGCAAAGCCTCAGACGCCAGAATGACGCTCTGCTTCTTACCCTCGGCAATGTTGATGGCACTCTGGCGCTGACCCTCAGAGTCAAGAATCTCGGCGCGCTTGGAACGCTCGGCGGTGACCTGTCGGTGCATGGCCTCGACGACGGCGGCGGGGGCGTGGATGTCCCGGATTTCGTAACGCAGACAGGTCACGCCCCAGGCTTCGGCGGCGTCGTTGATTGCGGCTGTGATGTTGGTGTTGAGGGCAGCTCGCTCCTTGAGGACGTGGTCGAGGGTCAGTTGACCGATCTCGGATCGCATGGTCGTCTGGGCGAGCTGAGAGATGGCGTACTCGGCATCTTCAACACCGTAGCTGTAGAAGGGCAGAGAATGTCAGCTTACTACCTCTCATGGTACAATTCGTCCTCAATGGCTGCCACAGTTGACAGCTGTTGAGCTCAAGAGAACCAACTCACCTCGCCTTGTACGCATCAAAGACACGAGTAAACAAAACACCATCCAGCTCCAGAGTAACATTGTCTGCAGTAATGGCACTCTGGCTAGGAATCTCAATGGCAACTTCCTTGAGGCTCTTGACGTAGGCGATGCGGTCGATAAAGGGCACGAGGATGGCCAGACCGGGGTCGAGGATTCTGTTAAACTTGCCCATGCGCTCGACGATCCACGCCGTCTGCTGAGGGACGAACCGCACAATCGTGTTGGCCGGCAGCCGGGGCTTGGAGAAGTAGGACGGCAGGACGGGGGAGCCGAAGCCGGCGGGGAGGAGGGCTCGGGACGTGGTGCTCAAGGGCCGGCGGCGCGCCGAGAGGGACCGGGCCGTGACGGCGGCGGCGGTTGCTGTTAAGAGGAGACGCGGCTGCGGCGCCCGGAGGACCGCCCGCGTTATGGACATGGTCATGATTGCGGTTGTGGAGGGAGGGGAGGATTAGCGGCTGGAGAGGGAAGGGATCGCAACCCAGAAGTCAACGATGCCAGGCAAAGAAATGACGTCCCTCTTCCACGAGTCGGATCAGTGGAAAAACCAAAATCCACAGCTCCAGCAAAAGCTCTTAGCTCCGCTCCGGGAGCTCCGACGTTATTCCGCAAGACAAGGCAGGAAGCTCCGGGTGCGTGTATGCTCATTCCCGTGGCGTGAAAGGTGGCATGTGTGGCTGTGCAAAATGGCGGGGCTTGTCACTCTTATCGGGGAGATAGATTCCCTCCCTTTACCACCCACCGCCGCTGTCTGTTGCTCCCTGCCCCGCGTTCCCATGTCTTGGACCGAAAGTTCATAGCCCAATATCAACCGCCACTACAACAACGTCACCTCCCCCGCGAAGCGATCCTCCCCCCTTCTACCACCTTTTTCTTTTTGGTTTGTTAAAAGGGTTAGTTTGTGTACGGAGGAAGAGAGACACGTCACAATGTCCGCCAAGGTTCCTCGCAACTTCCGCCTGCTGGAGGAGCTGGAGAAGGGTGAGAAGGGTCTCGGCGCCGAGGCCTGCAGTTACGGTCTTGAGGATCCCGAGGATCTTCTCATGAGCAACTGGAACGGCACCATCCTTGGCCCCCCTCATGTAGGTTCTTATTACAGACAGCCGTGTCGCTTACAGATAATGAAACAGCTTAACTAATATGCTGACAGTCCGTCCACGAGAACCGCATCTACAGCGTCAAGATGCACTGCGGCCCCGAGTACCCTGACCTCCCCCCCACGATCCAGTTCGTCAGCCAGGTCAACCTGCCCTGCGTCAACCCAACCAACGGCGTCGTCGATCCTAGCCAGCTGCCCTGCCTCGCCCAGTGGAAGCGGGAGAATACCATGGAGACCATCCTCATTGAACTGCGACGGTACGGAAGACTAGTCATGGCGCCAGGGAGTCATAACTGACATGAACCAGATACATGGCCTCTTCTCACAACAAGAAGATCCCCCAGCCTCCCGAGGGCTCTACCTACTCGTAAACCAATCACCACGTAACAAAGGTGTCGAAATTTCAAGATGAATCTTATCCATTTGGAGAACAAGGAGCCAGCTGCCCCTCTCCTCGCTATTCTGCGGTATTCGAGAACGTTATGCGACTATCGCGAATTAAAATATGATACACAAACTTCCACCCAGAATGCCCCCCTTTCAGTCATATTACAGTCCCGTACCTATCCGTCTTGTTTCGCTTTTCGTCACGTTCGTCAAAAGAAATTGCTACCGCTCCGCTCCGTCCTTGAGGACCAATCCCACATCCAATGAACTCGTTGTTTCAGGCGACTCGAGGCAGTCGACATTTTGTAGAGGTGGTTTAGAATAAAATAGTTCAGTATCCAGGGGATAGTTCGTCGCGGTCGGGCATAGTCGTCAAGAGAAACTCCCTCCACCAGATGCTCCCATAGCAAGGAGCAGTCCACATTGCTAGTTCGCCTACTGCTCCGGAAAGAACCCAGTTGAGGTATCCTGAAGAAACAAATCTCAAAGAAATCATCGCCGACAAAGGAAAGGTTGTATGTATGTGCGTACGATCATGGCTATGATCGAGGTATCCAGGAATGCTCCGGTTTCTAGAATGCGTTGAATAAAGGAAAGAAAGGCAAGTGTTGTAGAACGTATCGTCGTCCGCTGGGGACGGGTGAAATTAGTCCTCGTAACCCCATCGCGCAGGGCCAACTGCGCTCAACCGAGCCGTCTTCTTGTTGACTGTTGGTCGACGGGGAACAGCCGAGAGGGCATCAGGGGAGATGGGGCTATCGGGGCGAGGCACACCGACCTCGAGAGTATCGGTCTGTCGGTTGGGGCTCTGCTGGGTCCGGCTGGGTCGGCGCTTGGTGCTGGGTTGACTGTTCTTTCGGTCACTGTGACGACGCTGCTTGGCGTACAGGATAACCTCAGACACAATCTCTGAGCCCTCGGACTCGTTCCCATACTCATAAAAGTCGCTCAGGTCGGGACTTGGCTCAGCTTCATCGATCGAATGCTCCGCGGCAAGGGGGGAATCGAGGTAGAGGAGAATGCGCTCGTGCTGGTGGTGGTCCTTCTGAGGCTTGGGTGAAGCCTTTTTGATGGGTAGTTGAGGAGCCGCAGGAGGGGCTCGGGTCTCTTTTACGCTCACTGGCTTAGCCGTGGGCTTTGTCTGGTTGGCACTATGGCTCAGATCGAGGACTTTGGTGCCATCTGCAGCAACGGTTGTCTTGTCCTTGCAAGTAGGAGGAGCAGGGAAGTCAAAGTCGAAAGAAGACTCAGTGATGGTGGCCTCGGAAGGCTTTGACTGGTGACCCTTAGGTGCGAGCTTCTCGTTCCGGAGGCCTTCGTCCATCTCATTGAGGAACGTCTCACGCATGATTTGCCTCTTGTGACGGAGAGCTGCCAGAAGCATCTCCTCCTGGCGAGTGACGGCCATGAAACGGTTATGGCTTCCGTGACCATCGATAGAAGAGTGAGCAGAACGGATATAAAAGTCGACTGAGCTGGGGCTCAAAGGAGGCGTCGGGGCGTCGGGGTTGGTTGTTGTCGAGTCGCCAGGGACATATTTCCGCGCAGGGAGAATGTCAACCTCGGCCTCTGGCTCGGTTTCTGAAGATTCCACCTCCTTCTCTGGGTCCGAGTCCGTTGTAGTCTCTGAAGGCCCATGGGCAGGATGCATGGTGACAGCCTTGGCCTGTTGCAGGCCGTAACCAGGCTTGCTCTGCCATGTCATGGTCGTGTTTGCCGACGAGTTGGACTGCATGCTTGACACACGAGAGGGTGATTGGCCGGCGGTTCCCTCTTGGATAGTGTTTGTAGAGCTTCCAGATAATGAGCTTGCCCGAGGGCTGACAGTGGGAGGCCGGTGGTGTCCATTCGGGATGGTCAAGTAGTTGTTTGTGGTCGCAAAGCTAGTTCGCTTGCTCGACTTGCTAGATCTGCTCAATCGTCTTGAGCTGTTGTCGGCACTCTCGGATGTCCGAGACGTAGCTGGCCTGTAGTCAATAGATGATCCTGCGTCAGAGTGCGCATACTCGGGCACAGAGGCAGCGCCCTTGCTCGATGAGTCCATATACTCGTCCTCCTCAGAGTCTGATGAAAGTGAGAGCACGCTCTTCTCCTGAAGATCTGACTCCTGGAAACTCCTATCGGTGCGTTTCGATGCCTTGGACGTGCGCGTGTGCCTGCTGGACACACTGGCAGCGCAATCGGTTGGTGAAGATTGGCCAGGCTTGCTCGCCAAGATGGCCTGAGGTGTCTGGGGTAAATGACGCTTGGCATATTGTGAGACGATCTGCTCATCATGGTGTGCCGGTGGTGCAGGGTGATGTCCTTGCTTGGTGTGGGTAGTTGTCGGCTTGGGCTGAGGTTCCGTCTGCTTCGGCTTCTCCGGGGGTTCGTCCATCTCATGCAGTTCTTCATCCATAACCTGGCGGAATGACATTTGCTCATAATGCTCATACAGATTAGGCAGTCCGTTTAGATGACCGTGTCCTCGGCGGCTGCTGTCACCCGTCGCAGGTCGGTTTATCGTGGGTCGGGTTGTCTCAGGTCGATTCGTCTCCGAATGTAATGACCTCAGACTCTCCTTTGTGGGCCGTTTTGACAATTTCCCTCTTAATGAGGGAGTGCTCAATGGAGACAGAACAGAAGGTGACCTAACGACTTGGTCGGGCCCAAGAATAGGGCCCTCCCAAGGCTGGTTCTCATTCTTCTTGTTCCGAGACCGGCCGATAAGGTGAGACAGGTCCAGCTTAGCGGGCTTCTTCCTTCTTGACTTTGCATTTTCTAGCGCATGGTCCATATCCAGCATCCTCTGCGCCTTTGGTGGCAGACCCTTGGCCATGGCTGAATTCGAGGTCTGCTGGGAGATGGACAGAGGCTGCTTGGACTTGTCGTACCACGAGTGAAGAGTAGAGGACGATTGCCGTTTCCTGAGAATACTCGTCATGTCCGAGACTCCATCATCGTCGTAGTCGTCGGTGGGCGCTCCGTTATTCCTGAACTGCCGGGGCACAATCTCCGACTCATCTCCCCATTCGCGACCACCACCACGCTGATGCCTCGCCGACGATGCATATGTCGGAGCATCGGAAGCATCAGTGGCAGCGACGCTGACCTTGGAGCCAGAAAAGTCTTCCCACTGGTGAGGAGCATCGATATTGAGAGCGGTCGCACCGAGGATCTTTTGGGCCTTGCTCATGGGCGGAGCGGTGACAGTCACCTTTGGCGGCTGCTTCTTGCGGCCGTGAAAAGTAAACTTGGCCATGATGCCTCACGGATGCCCTCTTATTTTTCCGTCCCCAGGTTGGATCGTCAGGTTCCCCCCGGGGATTCTACTGTCAGCGCAAAGTCGACGGCACGGAGAGCAACATGTGCGGAGGAACGGTGTCGGTGTTGAAGTTGTTGAAGCGGAGGTCTTGATTAGGTGGTCCAGTGATCGATTCGGTATTCGTCTCAGATGTTGCAATTATCGGTCGTATACAGTCGGTTCGTCTTTGTCCTTCAAATGTCGACTCATGAGCGTGGCATTTCGATATAACCTGGACAAGTTCAAGCCGATGATGGGTGTGATATACAGTGTACCCTCACGCCTCATCCAACGCTCCTCTGTTCCTCAGCAAGAGCGATCGGCGACAACCAGGACCGTGGGATCGGGCAAAGGATTGGAGGGGGAACTTGGGGAACAAGACGAACGAGCACGTCGAGATAAAAAGGGACGATAATCCAAGCCAAGGTGGATAGGATGGAAGTGAAGTGGGCTTCTCTGCTTGGGGGAAGGACATGGATGATGGGACATGGGCTGGGGTGTGAGCTGCATAGACACTAGACTAGGAGGACAAGGAAGGTACGGAGGGCGTGCAGGTGCGGGCAAGCACAGACAAGGATGGATACGTCCCTCTCCCTCTGTTGTCAATGGATGGGTTTTCCTCATCCAAATCAATCCCGGCCGCAATCTGCCAATCCCGCCCGAGCGGGCGAGCGAGCGAGCGATCAGGCTAAGCAAAAGAGCTCCTCTCCACCTGCAGGCGAGAAAGGGCAAATGAGATCTAGCCGAACCTGAACAGAAGCATCCATCGACTGAGGAATGCGTCGACGGGGAGCTGCAGAAGCGTTGTTCTGCAGCAAGCAAGCAGGAAAGAAAGCAAGCAGACGCAAGTGAGAAACGTCCCGGCAGCCTGACGAATTGCCGTCGGGGAAAAGAAGTAAAAAAAAAATTGTTGAAAAAAAAGAAAAACAAAGAAAAAGTAACTTCTTATTTGTCGGGTCCAGACGATTTGATGGCTTTTGGTGGTGGCGGTAGACGGAACTGGATCATCCACGGCACTCATTGGAGCAAACCACACACACACTTCGACGGGCAAGATGAGCAGCATGAACACCACACGCACGGTAGTCGAGAGCTAAACCACTTGCTGTTCCCCCCCCGCCATCATTTCCATGGCACTGAGAGTCTGGTCCGGGGCCAAGCCAAAGTCAAAAAAGAGTCATGGCTTGCCAAGGGGCGTGTCCAAGCACGAGACTGAGGAAAGGTCAGGTTACCTTTCTAGGCCTGGGTTGGCAAGTCGGTGTAATTTGCTTCGTCGTACGGCGGTGCCAGGAGGTCTAACCATTCGTGGGATTTGCGTGGTATCGTACCTTGCAGAGAAGGCTTCCATTACTGTTCCATCTCTCCGGGGTCGCATCACGGCAAAAATCCAAATCTGACGAGTCTTGAACTTGATCTCTCGCATACGAGGTTAATCAGTCAATCCAGCTGTCACGCTCCCTCTCTTCATTCCTAACATGCCCTCCCCTTCTCCCTCAATCTTCCTCTTCAGCGCAACAGGGATGCGGTTTAGGCTAGATTGTGTTGATGGTGACGGTGGTGAGCCATGGATGTCCAGTCCAGGGGCCCGGAGACGGCGACAAGACATGGACGACGGGCGACCACGACACGACGGGCACGGGGTGAGTCCAGTGCGGGTCCGGTGGGTGCAGGTGCCCCGAGAGGAGGATGGACCCCTGCAGTAGAGGATCTGCTCCCCGCCCCCTGGACGCAGGGCGCTGAAGACTGCTGAAGACTTTCTGCGAGGCTTGCCCGCTGAAGAAGGTCTTTGATGCTCAAGAGGTCTGTGTTGTGCGCACGCAACATGATGGAAATGATTCAGCTGCCGCCTTGTCCGAGCGTGTGGACGAGGGCGGCGACCTGCGATGCCATGTGTCCAGGGGGGAAAGGTTCAGGAACAAGATTGCTCGGCAACTCAAAATCACCGACAGTCAGGGATCGTGGCGGTCAGTCGTTGCTTCTTGCTCAGATCTGGCGACGATCTCTTCCTCATCACGCTGTTCTTCTCGCATCCTCTTCAGTGTCTGCCACCACCCCCAGCCAGATCGCCAATGACAAACCAGGGGGGTGGAAATGGAATTGCTTCTGTGGCCAGCTTGGCTCTTGACCGGCTCGACGCCAATTCCAGCGTGGTGGGAAAGGCAGACGCCCAGCCGACCAGCTTTGCCCCCCCTGTGCTTGACCTGAAGCACAACGGAGAGGCGGTCGGTCGGTGGAAGGACGAGAAGCGAGCGTCGGCCACCACGGGGCTGAGTGAGAGTCCCCATCCCATGGTACCAAAGATGGATGGTACGGATGGTATGCAGATGACGGACTCTTTGCGCTTGGCTAGTCCGGCCCTAACTAGCAGAGAGAGTCCCTCTCTGGTGGACATTTCGGCTACTGGCGATGTCACGGTGCAATATGGCATATCCCCCGGATCTCCATGTCAAGAGAGCACGAGGTCGGGTCCCTCCCGAGGGGGCAAGGCATGGCATCAGGGGGGAATGATTGACATGACAAGCTGTCAGTTGAGTCTTGTCCCTGGCCTCACGGACGGAACAGCCGCAGATTGATTCATGATAACTGATGGTTGATATGGGCGAGACAAGACATGGGAATATGGGAACCCCTTCCCTCCACGTGCACGCTTCGATTGTGTTGGTTTCAGCTGCATGGTTCCAACCCGTTTCCATAGTCCGCATGGGTTTCCATTCCAGAAGGACAGCTTCGCCTCTCGCCTGATCCAGCAGCTGGGGCTCGGCCGAGGTTGCGCGCCGTGCGTCTGGATGGCGCGGCACGGGACGGAGAGCCTCACTTTTTTTTTTTTTTTTACGCCGGGTGTTTTGAAGACGCTCCAAGATTGCAGGTAGACTGAAGAGTGATAATCAATAATCAATCTCTTTCAATCTATCCGAAAAGGTAGCCGTCTTTGTTTGTTAACTTTGTGTAGATCTCCCACGATGCCACCTCACGGTCCATCTCTGTTGGCTTCCCCCCGGATGCGGAGATACATGCAACTCTCAATGTATCACCAACAACTGCTTGACTCTCATCCTTGGCGTCAATCATCCGAAGCTCATCGGATCCCCTTTGCTGCAAGTCATAAACCCAACATCCAATCCAATCCAGCACATCCTCATTTGCCTCTTGTCAAATCCCATACTTGCCCACGTTGTCCATTGACTTTTAGTACGATCTTCGTGTTCAACCCCCGCTTAGAGCCACGCGGCGACGCTATCACCAGCGCCAACGCTAATAGACTAGAATAAGACGGCGGGCTCTTGGTAGAATCCGCGAACTCGGTTCCGTCGTCTGCTGAATTCATCCATCATGGCCATCAACTTTGCTCTCCAAAGTGCCCCTGCCTAGAGTGCGCATGACTCGTCTCTTCAAGTGCTTTCGCCCCCCCCCGGCCTCATCGCGGAAATTTCATCTGCGGTGAAGACGGTCCCTCGTACATCATCATCACCACGAACTGCCTCTCTACCCGCAGTTTTGGGTAATCCTTCGGCCTGGGATTTGTCCGTCGAGTAGGTTATGTATCCGTAGTTTTTTCTGCCCCATGTTCTCCCTACATATCCACCGTCCGTCATGAAGCCTGCTAGGCCAGGGGTAGTGATCCTTGGCTCCTCGTGCTTCGTTCCGTTCGCTTCAAAGACGCAAACGTAAACGGCCATGGCTGCCATGCTTCGCCATGCCATGCTGACACCGTGCCGTGCCTGTCAATCCAGTGTCTGGGTCTCTCGCCTGACGTGATCTGGTTCAAAAGGCAACGGTCCCATCCAGCCTTGTAGGCACCTACGGTGGCCCTTGCTACTAGCGATTCATGCAAGGCCAGACTATTAAACCAGCGGGCAGAGTTAACGACGTCTCGTACGATGGTCGACAGCCAACGAAATTAACAAGCCCGGTGTCACAACCCGTCTTCCGCCTCCCGTCAATGTCTTGAGTGCCTGTCGGCAATCGTTAGATTTCAGCCTCCATGTGCGGCGGTTGCAATTGTCTAGGAAAAAGCAAGGAGCCTCCGCGGCCCCGGACTCCGAAGAAGCACACAGCGAACAGCACAAGCACACGCCCCTGGAGTCTCCCAACGACGTCACCGCAAGACACTTGATCGCCTGTGTTTGAGAGAGTGGCTTGAAAGGTAAGGTCAGTTGAATCCAGCTGTCGTGGTTTCAGGTAATTATCCGTACCGTAACTGGGCTCATTATTCTGACTCTCCCCCCTTTGTGCACATGGATCCGACACATCACAAAACAGCCCTTTTGACAATATCCCGCTTACCGGTTTTTTTCCTTCGCTCATGCACGTACGGGCTTCCAATGTAACCTTGTCTGCCACCAGAAGCATCTCGCTCAATGTCTCTCAGCCTCCTGCAACTACAAGGTTGAAGTGTTTCCGAAGCTGTAAGGGAGTCTACGTTGGGGATATATTACGCAGATCGCGAGAACACCTCGACCGACTCTTTTTCATCTTGTCTTGACAAACTGTTGCTCAAACACATGCTATGAGATAAAATTGATCATCATCTCTTATCCACAGCGGCCTGTGGTCGCAACCAACAGTGACATCTCACATGCATTCACCTTTCTTCTTTGACTGTCCTGCGCCGACCTCACCCGCCAATATTTCTCAACGTTTGCTTTTCCTTCATGACTCTCGGTTGCTCCCTTCCTTCGACCCGCGTTGCGTCTCGTGATTCTGGGTCGAGCCCGCTTCTTGGCTCGTCTCGCTTGAGGGTCTTTTGCTACCACGGTTGATCGGCGCGGGGCAATACCTTGAACGGCTTTGATCCTCCGCAGCTGCGAACCTAGGCAATTGCTCCGTGTCTGGTGTTTGTCCCAGGTCGGGGTGTGTTTGGGGTTGAGACATATTATCTGCACAGCTTCATAGCTAAATGCACTGGTAGCAAACTAACTACGGCGATGGGTATCTACCCAGAAAGGCCAGGCAATGAC